CTGTGGAACGAATATAGGTGGTTTCACTTATTCAGCTGTTCACTTAAGGTCTCCTGGACATAATCACACTCTTCTTGGTCCTTCTATTGCCAATTCAATTGAAAATAATAGAGTGCACTATTATTTGTAAAAGCCAAGGAATATACGAGGGTTGAATGAAAAGTAATGCCTCCACTTTCGTTACTTGGGTTTGGATGAGAATATTTTAATAAATCAAACACAGAAATAATCCTTAGAATGTGCTCTTTACCACTATTCACCTTTCCACATAATCTCCACACAATTGGATACTTTTGTGCCAACAATGAACAAGTTTTCTGAAGCGGTCACGGAAGAAGTCAACACTCTGTTTCTGCAACCAGCATCTCACAGTTCTCTCAATGTATTCATCAGAAGCATAATGATGTCCCGCAGATCTTTTTTCATTATCAGGAACAGATGGAAGTCAGACGGTGCTAAATCTGGACTGTATGGAGGATGCTGTATGGTGGTGAGATCCAGTCTCCAAAGTTCTGCTGTGGTGGCATGTGAAGTGTGTGGTTTGGCATTGTCATGCTGCAGGAAAACATTTCCCTTTTCCTTTCAGACCCTTGTTATCCGTCGTTTCAAAGTTCACAGCATTGTGAAGTAACACTCTGAATATATTGTTGTTCCACGTTCAAGGAAATTAACATGGATAACGCCATCTGCATCCCAGAACACTGCTGCTATGATTTTTCCAGCTGAGGGCTGTGTTGAATTTCTTTTTCTGAGGCAAGTCTTTGTGTCGATATTCCATAGACTGACACGTTGTCTCCAGGTCACGTGTACCCACATTTCATCTCCTATAACAATTGAATGAAGAAAGGTGTCACCTTCATTCTCATAACGCGAGAGGAGTTCCTGGCAAATTTCAAGTCGGTGCGCTTTCATTTCCAGCATCAGCATCCTGGGTACCCATCGTGCACAGATCTTCTGATAGGCAAGCAAAGCAATAATGTGACCTACACATTCTTGTGAAATGCCGATTATGCTTGAAATTTCTCTCTGAGTGATACGACGATCGTTCTGAATCAATCTGTCAACCTTTTGCTTGTGAAACTTGGTGGTTGCTGTCACAGGACATCCAACTCTTTGTTTGTCATGCAAGGCAGATGTTCCCACCTCAACATCTTTAAACTTACTCGCCCAATGATGCGCAGTACTCACATCAACACAATCACCATAAACAGCTTGCATTCTCTAATAAATCTCTTTTGGGGTGACACCTTCTGCTGTCAAGAATTCAATGACTGCACGTTGCTTAAGTCGCATTGACCAACAAGGTTCCATAGTTTGCACTTTAACAACACAACTGTTCAATGCTAAGACTTCCTGCCAAAATGGAACTGTAGAGGAGAGTCTATTGAACAAGCCAGTACCTGCCATATACCAGTACTGCCATCTGTTGAGGAGTTACGAAGGTGGAGGCATTACTTTACATTCAACCCTCGTATATTCAGCAGATATGGAGGTTGTAGTGCACCCCCAAGCTGTGGACCAGCATCCTTAGAGAGACTCCAGCTCTATCCAGAACAGGTTGCTTCTCCAATTTCCCAGAAGTGAGAACCATTAATCCACAGAATCTCTGATTTATAAGGATTCATCTTCAATGCCTCAGCCCTTGTTCAGTCCATTAAAGCATCCAGTCATTGGTTCAATTGACCCTGGCTGCATCTATACAGCAGAATTAATGTAATTTGACACTACTTTAACTACCATGGTTCAATGCTCTGGGATCCTGTTATAGTTTGATGAGAGATCTGCACTTTTCGGTAGAGGTGTGAAATACATTGTAAAAATACAACTCCCATGATTCATAACATTGAGTCATGGCAGTTAAAATTATGTCAAATGCCATTACTTCTACAGTCTAGATGCACCCCCTGGCAACAAGAAGAGACATGTGTTAGCAGCATTCTGTTTATACCATCCCATCAATTCCCAATAACATTACCCAAAGTCTCCGTAAGATATTGAACAGCATGAAACACATCATGAACTCCCATGGCATTCACCAGGTATACACACAGACACATTCTTTTTTTGTTATTATTTCAGAGAAATGCTTTGATATAAACACCTGGAAAATTATTTCTAATGGTGCATATGTAGGTGACATACCACAAATTGCATTTCAACGTATGTGTATATATAATAAGAGAGCACAGGAATGTGAAAACTTGCCCTGTGTTGTAATTTGCCAATTTTATACTAAAATAGGAAACACAATGTGCATTCATGTTTTAAATAACAGCTTGTTAACCTGGTATGCTAATTACATAAAACTAGGTATACCTAATTAACCAAACAATGGGCAAGGTGGAGCTCTCAGACTAATTGTAAGGTTAGTTTTCCATTGAAAGTAATAGAATGCATCACTGCAAGCAGCAACACCTGTCCTTATAATTTCTGAAGTTGTTTATTTATTTCCTAATTTAGCACATAATTCTTCATTCCCATTTGTCAGATACATTGATTTTCCTGATCTGCAAATACACTGTCATATCAGAGAGAGTGTGTTAGCATGGTGTAGTGGTTTGAACGCTAGCATATAATTCTGGATACCACGAAAAACATTGGATGAACTTGGGCAGTTCACACCCTCTCAGCCTCAGAGGAAGAAAAAAGCAAACTTCCTCTGAACAAATCTTGCAAAAAAAAAACCTCCACATGCCTTAGTGCTTCCATAAGCTAAAAACAACAAGAAGACACAGAACAGCAATCATAGTTCTCATCTAGCAGCATTTTCATCTCTTTTTGTGGTTCTTAAATGATACAACTGTACAAAAGTAAAAGTTTGAATTAAAAGGCTGACTTCCACGGGGCAATTTTTTAAACTCATGTGTTTAAAGATGTTTCCTGGAAACATTCTCTGAATGTTGTATATATTACCTCTGAGGGTGCATTCAGACAGGGCACAAGTTGTGCAGGGCAAACCCACTATGGCTGTTGCGTGAACTGGCCCACCAGAAGTTCTGGAGCTTCTGAGGGGGGTTATCAGCACAGCCATCTCTCACTTTCCAGGCTGAATCAGCCCGGAAAATGCAAGAGGGCTCTAATCCCCCCCCCCCCCAAAAAAACCCTTGAAAAATAAAAGAACTTACCTGGCTGCCAGAGTTCTCCTCATATCATCATCATCATCATCATCATCATCATCATCATCATCATCAATCATCATCATTTAATTACTTATTAATCACCCTCCATCTAAGATGCTCTAGGTGATTTACAAGCTAAAATTGTAAAGGATAAAAATACATACATACAGATATTGATAAAATTAACAAAGATCAAAAGCTCTAGTAAAAAGCCAAGTCTTAAGTGCTAGGGTAAAAGGCCCGAAGTCATGAATGTAGGAATGACGCGCCAGGAGAGCTCCAGCACCATGCTAATGGCGGCTGGCTAAGTTCTTTTATTTTTAAAAAGGTTTGGGGGGAGGGGTAGGGAGGGGACCTGTCTCCCTATTCTCCCAATAGGTACTGGGAGGAAATGTAGATAATGTAGAAAAGTGTGAGCCTTTGGGGCAGTGTGCAGATTACAGTCTATGCTGACCTGGATATTGCTGCTGTCTGAAACTGCCCCGAGGCCTCTTCTACACTGCCACATAAAATCCTGATTATCTGCTTTGAATTGGATAATATCACTGTTTAGAAGGGGCCTGAATTACATACTTAGAGTTATGCTAACATATGCACAAGCCTAAGGATTCCTATATACCAGTGGTTCCCAACCTTTTTTTTTTTTTTTTTTGGCGAAGCTTCCACTTGACCAGGAACCACTCTCCAACATTAGTACCAAAGGGGTTATGAATCAGATTTTGGTCAACTTTAGATTCGGTTTAGGGTGCTGATTCAGAAAACTGCACTTGATAGACCACATCACCTCTACTGATACAGAACATATGCCATCCAGGTGTTGCCATCTGCTCACCCACAGAAAACCATATTTAATAATCTAGATCTGATGTGGTAGTAGTAATCTTTCGTGGGTAGTCAGCCTCTCCCCTCTCAGCATCCTCATTGCCTTGGTACTGTAAGAGACCAGTCGCTCTTGTTGCCACATGGTTTCAAGGCAACAGTGTAGCAATGGTGAGGCTATGGAACCATATTTTTGTTCTTGTTGACAACTGGTGGTCCACGGACACAGGTTGGGAACCACTGCTATACACAATACACAGAGTGCTTAAGACTAACATTTATGCTTAACTAACAATTTGCAATGGCAAATGGTGTATAGGTGAAGGTGACCATCTGCCGGGAGAAACCGGAGAGGGCTTGATTGGATACTGAGCATGCTGAGTCCACTTTCTAAATAATAGCTATGATTGGCTCCTGGTGGTTATGACAATACTTTAGTCAAATTAAAATAATGTCTAGATTTGTAATGCAATTGGTAGAACTCAACTGTCAGATCTGGGAAGAAGAAACCGCTTTGAGTTGCCCGAGGGCTGAGAAAAGTGGTATATAAATGAAATAAAATGTCAGCCAAGAACTTAGCTGTCTTCAGCAGCTATGCTTTTCATTTCAAAGAGAGTGAGATTGTGAATGAGATAAAGCGGTGTGTGCTCTGCCTATTATGAAAATAAGAACATTAATTACTCACATCTGTCCTGATCTATAGCTATCATAGAGATTGCAAGCTGAAGTTGTTTGCTTTTTAAACACAAATGTATCACATGGATTTATTAGTTCATCCAGGTCTGCTATAAAAAAAAAGTTGGCAAGAGAGTCATTCCTGAAGTAAACAGTAGAGAATTACTGAAAGGAAGTATATAGTAGTTTCTGGGTGTAACCTGAGGGAAAAATGGTAATCCTTGAGATAAAAAGCTGGGAGGATAAAGTAAGGAATTAGAAAAGGCACACAGTGGAAAACCACATGTTGGCAGGGAAGCTGAAATCAAAACACCATAAACCACCAGAGATTTTCTTCCAAAACCACCTGTAAAGGCCTCTGGAACATCTTGCCAGTTAAAAAGTGGAATGGCTCTGGATGGACGAACTCTGTCTGATTATAACATTCAGAAGGAGTCTACCCTCCACCTTGTGCTGAGGCTTCGTGGTGGAGCAAAGAAGAGGAAGAAGAAGTCCTACACCACCCCTAAGAAAAACAAGCACAAGAGGAAGAAGGTGACGCTGGCTGTCCTTAAATACTACAAGGTGGAAGAAAATGGGAAAATTAGCCGCCTGCGGCGAGAGTGCCCTTCAGAAGAGTGTGGGGCGGGAGTCTTCATGGCCAGCCACTTCGACAGGCATTACTGTGGCAAGTGCTGCCTGACATACTGCTTGAACAAACCAGAGGACAAATAAAATGTGTCTTTTGTTATAATAAACACATTTAAACTGCGAAATAAAATGTGGAATGGCTCTGAACTAGTTCTCAACCTGTGGGTCCCCAGATGTTTTGGATGTCAACTCCCAGAAATCCTAACAGCTGGTAAACTGGCTGGGATTTCTGGGAGTTGTAGGCCAAACACCAAGGACTCACAGGTTGAGAACCACTGATATAGACTGAAGAAACTTGGATTTGTGCATTTGTTTTAGTTTGAGGTTCTACCATTTTTCACACACCAACTGCTCTAAAAATCAAGTTTTCTTTCTTTCTTTTTTTGGGGGGCTTATTATTTGTGGATAAAGCCAGGCTGTTGTTGAAGGTTTTCAAAGACAAGTGCCTTTGGGGGATACTAGACTTTTCCTTCCAATCCTATGTTCTATGTCTCCCAAGTAGATAGAAGGCATTGATCTCCTTCCCCACTTTCCCACTTCTCCTATCCTTCCTCCCAATCTCACAAGGCGGCCAAAATGCAATTTTGAAAGCCAACAATATTGTTCTTTTTTGTTTTTAAATCATGTCAGAAGTGACTTGAGAAACTGCAAGTTGTTTCTGGTGTGAGAGTATTGGCCATGAAAGTGAAACCAAGTGGTGATATTTTGAAATTTCAATATTTCTCATGACTATTTTTTTTTTAATTACCATGCCGGGTTCATGAAGGCGGAAATTTGGGAGAAAATGTCAGTGTCTGATAGGAGATCACCCATACGAATGCCACCTCATCAATGCAGGGAATCTGACAGGCCCCATCCTATGTGTTGCTTGCCATTTTCTCCAATTGTATTGTGATTCCTGAGCTCAGAAGATGATCTCTGCCCATATTCTTAGCCCTGTTTCCTGTCACTTAAAGAACTGTATTACAGAGTATAAGGGAGCCCATCCCTATGTCATGGGATGGGCTCCCTTATACGTCGCTTCCTTTCTGTGTGTAGAAACTGGTGTGGGGTTGTGTGGGATAAAGTCCCCTATCTGAACTAAATTAATTGATTTTTATTATCAGATGCTTTTCTTAATAAATTGTTCTGGTTTTTAAAAATCATGTCAGAAGTGACTTGAGAAAATGCTTCTGGTGTGAGAGAATTGGCCATCTGCAGAGATGTTGCCCAGAGAATGCCCGGATGTGTTACCATTCTGTGGGAGGCTTTTCTCATTTCCCCGCATGGGAAGTTGGGGCTGACAGACAAGAGCTCACCACACTCCCTGGATTCGAACTGCCGACCGTCAGGTCAGCAGTTCAGCTGACACAAGGATTTGACCCATTGCGCCACCGTGGCTCCTTAATAAATGGTGATTGCGTTTAAATAAATTCTACTCAAAAAGTGTTATATAGCATAAAAATAGTGAGCCTTAATGAATCTTAAAATTTTTGTAAATATATAAACTGCCACAAGGAGGCAGCACTTTCGCAGTACAGTAAATGAAAAAAAAAGGGTGTATTGAAGGATGGGAGGGTGTATTGAAGGATGTAAGAGAGTATTGGCTAAAACCTTTTGTAGGTACACTTCCTATGTTTTTAGATTAGCACCAAAATGTGTGCCCTACTCTGCTAATATGGCGGTATTTTCAAGGATGGAAAAACTGGGAATGCTTCTTTCTGCATAGCGTTTAGGGTAGGCTTAACTCCTACTTTACATATGGCTTCAAGAGTTGTTGGAAACATCTCCACAAAGACGTGCTCTTACGTTTAGTTATGGCACAGAGATATCTCTGGATGTTCAAAGGCTATTCTAGTGGAAGCATCAGCTCTATCGAGTTCTAGCATGCCTTAGGTATGGGCTCTGCGCAGTCTGTGTCTGAATCTAGCTAAATATAAAGAGACTAATCTTGAGAGGGATGAATGCAAGTCACAAATATGCCATGGCAAAAGTTGAAGGCAAAACTACCATCTTTATTAGTGGATGTAACACAATCCCTTGTTTGAAAGGCCTCTCCACTCTAATGGCCAGCCAAAGAATTGGGGATCTTGAATTTTCCCATCAACAGTAAGAATCTGGATCCATTTCCCACTGCACAAATATAGCATTATGATTGTATTTGAATTGACATGGAGACCTCTTAGGGAATTCTGAGATTTGTAGTTTGCTGAGACTAGAACTATAAGTGCCCTTCCCCGAATCTCAAATCCTAAAATTCCATAGGATGTGGCCATGGATGTTAAAACAGAATCAAAGGTTCATCTACACTGTAGAAATAATGCAGTTCAACACTACTTTAACTGCCATGGCTCAGTGCTATGGAAACCTGAACATTGTAGTTTGGTGAGGCGTTGAGACTACTTGTCAAAGAAGGCTAAAGACCTTGCAAAATGACAAATCCCAGGATTCCATAACACTGAGCAATGCCAGTTAAAGTGGTGTCACACTGCATTAACAGTGTAGATCAGGCATGGCCAAACTTCGGTCCTGAGGCCCGGAATTGTGGGAGTTCAACTCCAAAACACTGGAGGACCGAAGTTTGGCCATCCCCAGTGTAGATGTAACTCCAGAGCTGTAACTGTAGTGTGAAAGGTACACAACTGCAGTATGATTGGCACAAAGGTTAACATAGCAGAGTATGCAGTCCTATAAGATGTATTTTTAAAATTAAATTTATAGTAATTGCATATTTTATTTAGACTACATTCCCTCTTCTGTCTTTTTCTTGGAGAGTGATGCATTCTTTCTTTCTTAATAAGATCTAAGTGGCTACCTGATTTAGCTGAAAAGCTGTTATTTGAAGAGCTATTGTTTAGAGAAGACAGCTGACAACTTGAAGCAATTCTCACTTTGAAAGTTTTGCTCTCTCATCCTTCCGATAGACTGAAAAAGTATCTAGTCTGAGTTGGAATACAAATATAAGTTCAGAATCCAAAATTGCTCCAGTGGGAGCAATGCATTTTGTGAGGATGTGCAAAAGAAGTGCCTTTAAGTGTTGTGGAACCCAGTTTGTGGAATGTCCTCCTGTTAGAGGCCTTATTACATCCAACAATGTCATCATTGTAGGTTAAAGTTATAACATGGGTTTTTACTAAGGTTTTTAAGATATAACTGTATCCAAGTAGTACATGTTCATGGCCTGAAGAGCTTTATATCTTTTTAATTTGTTAGCTGGTTTAATGCATTTTAGACTATAAATTATTTAAAAGGATGTTGCAGTTTAAGTGGTTTAAATTGATCTTCCTTTCTTAATTAAGTAATGAATTGCTGATTGAAACAATTCCTTCAGTAGGATTGGGTAGGAATAATTCTCCTCCTGAGAATAAACTTGGTATCATGATTTGAGAAATTGATTATTACTCTGGAGACCAGGGCTCAAATCCTTAGTCCAGCCATGGAAACCCACTGGATTATTTTAGGCAAGTCACTTTCTTTCAGTTTGAGAAGGCAACAAAGGCTAGATTATTATAGGCGATCACTTGTGGCCAAGTATGTTTGTCTTAAAAGGGTAGAGTCTTGACTGTGTGTCCGTGACTGTTGAGACCTATTCTGGACCCACATGGTCTTTCACAGTGATGACATAGATTTCCAGATGGCAAGCAGTTTTGACAAGGATTTGTTTGATTCACCTTCCTCTTGGCACGTTTTGTCCCTTTAGCCCTCTATTTGTGTCTTTTCAAAATCCATAGCATCGTTGGTAATATCTGCTCATCAGTTAAAATACTCAAGTGCCAGGGATTCCCAGTTCTGAGTGTTTATTCTATACTTTTAAAGTTAGCCTTAAGTCCATCTTTAAATCTCTTTTGTAGTTCACCGACATTCCGTTTTCCATTCTTGAGTTCAGATTAACGTAACTACTTTGGGAAACAGTGACCAGAAGTTTGAACAACACAGACAGTCCAATGAAGTTGATGGCTGAGAATAATCACTTCAGTGCTGGTGGTCTTTGCCTCTTCCAGCATGTTGACATTTGTCCATTTGTCTTTCCAAAAGATTTGCAGGATTTTTCAGAGGCAACGCTGATGGAATCTTTCCAGAAGACAAGAGTGACACTTATAGATGGTCCATGTTTGTAGATGTACAATAGAATTGGAAGGACAATAGCTTTATATACAGGTATCTTGGTATCCCCACAAATCAAACACTCTTTGCTTCAATCAGAAAAATGCTGCACTTGCAGAACTCAGTGTTGTAAAACAAAGGTAAACTCTTTAGTACAGCTGACAGTAATTCAATTTACCAATCTTTATTCATATTAATAAAGAACATTAATTTCAGTCTATATCTAACATATAGAGTCTCATATGTTATTTACCAGATATTAATGAAAGATATAGGAACATTCAAGAGTATTTAACTTGTTTATATTTTAACATAAGACCTCAGTTCCCCATTGATATGTAGAGTTCATTTTCAGAGCTGGAACTAAAGCCCACCACTGCTTCACTATAAGAATAAAAATGTGAGGAAAATCATCTGAGTTACCTGATTGGTGCATCAGTGCGATACTGGAATGGACTGTAATGACGTCATTGTGGTGGGGCAACCAAAAATCTAAATAGTCATAAGCTTTCTGTTTCCCTGACATGGCCTCTCCAAAGCCATAATCCCCATCAGAAGTCAATGAAGAAAAACTGTAAAACAGTCCTTCCCTGATTTCCTACTCTACCACGGAGTGCTGGTGGGCCTTAAGATGTCTGGCAGAAACTCCCAACCACATGACCTTTCTGCTTATTTTGAAGCTGTATGCCTAAGTATCAAACTAGATTACACATGTAACACAATTCAAAACTAGGTCTCTCTCAAATCTAACATGCTTTGCTTTCAGAGTGGTCACTGGAAAGTATATGAGTCTCAATTGCAACTCTGATTGCTGAAACAAACATCTAAAAGGAAGAGAGATTCATCTTAGTGAATACATATTCTCTTCATGTCTAGTTTTACACTATGATTGGTCTATTTAACCATTCATGGATGTTTACTTCCCAGTCATTTCAAAAGGACTTGAGAAAGTGAACATTCTCAGAACAAGGAATATGTAAATTGGGACTTACAAATGTTTTGGTGCTTTGTGGATGCTTCTAACATCTGAACTCTTGAAATTCCACATGAATTCATTATGGCTAATATTTTTCATAAAATAAAATATTACAGTGTAATATTTTCATTGCTAAGGTTTATTATACTTTAAACTTGCCTTTAAAGTCATGATCAGCACATCTTGCCTATAATCATCTTCACACTGAATGTCGATTACACATTAATCTAATTATTTCAGCACATAACGATTGCTAACTATTCAAGCTACGACTTTGGATTTTAATTTCTGTTTGTTGAACAGCTCTTTTAGCTGTTGCTCAGATGTTGCTTCTTTCTGCTGTATCAGCTCCGCATCTCCTTTGGTCACTCCCCAGTCATCTGGTTTTGACAGTGAAGGGCAATATGGGCGGCCTGAAGCAGGCAGCAGATTCTCCCAGTACTCTTTCCTGGCCCTGGAAACAAAGAGACAAATTCTGTTTTTAATTTACACAGTACATGAATATGTCAATCAACAGACAGTTGACTGGCTGCCCTGACACGAAATAAGTAAAACAGTCATAAAATAATCTCAGTTTAACCCTAAAAGTGCAAAAATCCATTTTTATTACTTGCTTTCAGACTTTTCGGGATATGCACAGACTGTTACTGGAAATCACTTTTTAGCTGAAAACAATAGTAAAGGTGAAACCAAAATAATCCTCTACCCAAGATAACCTAAAAGATCAGTGTAATTCAGGCAATCCAAAGTTTTAGTAGCAAGATAGTTCGTTGTTTATTCGTTCAGTCGCTTCTGACTCTTTGTGACCTCATGGGTGAAGACGTGGCTGTGGAGTCAGGCCTTCGAGGAATGAGACAACACCATAGGACTCTGGATGGAAGTGGATATAGATCCATCTTATTAGGATGACTGACCACTGTAGTTTTATATTTAGTGTTTTTAAAGTTGTTTTGTAATTTGTGATATATGATATTTTAATGAATGTATAAGTTTTTATGGCTGTAAACCGGGCTGAGTCCCTCGACGAGGTTGAGAAGCTCGGTATACAAAACTGTGAAATAAATAAATAAATAATAAATGGGCTAGTCCATGCCAAAGGTCCCTGCTGGTTGTCACCACCTGCAGCTTCTTCAATGTCAAGTCAATCACTTCAAGGATACCATCCATCCATCTTGCCCATGGTCGGCCTCTCTTCCTTTTTCCCTCCATTTTCTCCATCATCATTATGTTCTCCAAGCTTTCCTGTCTTCTCACTATGTGGCCAAAGTACTTCATCTTTGCCTCTAATATCCTTCCCTCCAGTGAGTAGTTGGACATTATTTCCTGGGGCATGGACTGATCTGATCTTCTTGTGGTTTAAGGCACTCTCAAAATTTTCCTCCAACACCACAGATCAAAAGCTTATATCTTCCTTCTCTCAGCCTTCCTTATGGTCTGCTCTCACATCCATAAGTTACTATGGGGAATACCATTGCTTTAACTATGCGGATCTTCATTGTCAGTGTGATGTCTCTACTCTTCACTATTTCATCAAAATTGACCATTGCTCTCCTCCCAAGCAATAAACATCTTCTGATTTCCTTGTTGCAGTCTGTGCCTGTAGTAATCTTTGCACCTTGAAATACACAGCCTGTTACTGCCTCCACGTTTTCTCACTCTATTTGCCAGTTATCAATCATTCTTGTTGCCACGATCTTGGGTTTTTTGATGTTTAACTGCAACCCAACTTTTGCACTTTCTTCTTTCACCTTGTTTAGAAGGCTTCTCAGCTTCTCCTTGCTTTTGGCCATCAAAGTGGCATCATCTGTAGATCTAAGGTTGTTAATGTTTCTTCCAGAAATTTTAACTCCAGCCTTGGATTCTTCAAGCCTTGCGTATCACATGATATGTTCTGCATACAAGCTAAATAGGTAGTGTGAAAGTATACAGCCCTGCCTTATTCCTTTCCCAATCTTGAACCAGTCTGTTGTCTCATGGTCTGGCCATTATACTTGCTCATTATACAGAATTCTCAATAGACAGACAAGGTGGCTTGGTATCCCCCATAGCACCAAGAACTTGCCACAATTTATTATGATCTAAGATAGTAGTATCAACCTCTTTTGAGCAAGTTGCATTTTCTGCCAGTCAAATCTTAGTCCTTGTTAAAAATTATATACACTACCTTCCTTTGTAATTTGAGTCATTCCTTGTAGTCAGATTAAATGAGGGGTCAAGCTTCAAAATTACATGCCAGAGATGTGTAGGTAATTTCTATTAACCCATGTCTTAACCAGGAGAGCAGTAACACAGAGTAAGAATAAAAAGAAGGCAATTCAGAGTCATTATCAAATGTATCTAAATTTCCTGGTATGTTTTGAATGTAGATGTCCTTTTCTAAGGGAAACTACTTAGCATATAGATTAAGCAGTCAGTGTTCTGACTGAATTCAATACCCTCAGATTTATTGAGCACAAAAACACTACCAATCCAATTTTTCTATTGTTAGAAAATCTTTAATGGGTTTTCTAATAGTACAATTGTGGAATAAAAGTTATCCTAAAATAAATGAAAAGAGATTTAACTCAATTCAAACAGGATCGAGTTAACATAATCACAAGTTATATGCTGAAAAAGTCTCACATTCTTTGTTTCCATCTTTTTACCTGCATTGATACATTTCTCTTATGAAACTCTGATCATACATGGTTTGGTATAATGACACAAAGTTCCAATACTTCTAAGATAGCCAATACTTGGCTATCTGAGGCAACCGTTTCTAAGAAGGAAGCCTGTTCAGTGGGCTGTTTAAGTGCCAAAGTTAAAAATATACTTACCTCGCTCTGACCCACGGTTTGGTATGCATGCTCAGATCACTTCCCCAGCTGCCATGTTTTTCAGAACCATGTGGCAAGAAGCCTCTTTCAGGGGCCAGCTCCTCAGCAATGGCTCTGATGTGGTATGGTTCAAATCCACAGCATCCTCCAATATATCTGACCCCCAAGTTATAAGCCTCCCTTGCATACTTATGGATATCCCATCTGGTCAGGATTCTTGGCTCCAAAGCTGTTGATGATATGCAATTGGTTTTACTTCATTATTCCTTGAACATTTAGTTAATACTTTGCACAAATTTGACAAAACTGTCATTAAAGGTAAAGGTTTCCCCTGACATTAAGTCTAGTCATGTCCGACTCTGTGGGGTGGGGCTCCTCTCCATTTCTAAGCTGAAGAGACGGCATTGTCCATAGACATCTCCAATGTCATGTGGCCAGCATGACTGCATGGAGCACAGTTACTTTCTCACCGAAGTGGTACCTACTGATCTACTCACACTTGCATGTTTTTGAACTGCTAGGTTGAGAGAAGCTGGGTCAAACAGTGGGAGCTCCCCCGCTCCCTGGATTCGAACCGCCAACCTTATGGTCAGCAAGCTCAGCAGCTCAGCAGTTTAACCCGCTGTGCCACCAAGGGGCCCTAAAACTGTCATTACACTGGAAATACACAAAAACAAAACAAAAAAATTCTTTAGACAATGCAAACCTGGTTAACAAATGCATGCATCTAACACTACTCTCTAGTTTCTTGGGAGTTCTTCCAGTACACAAGCCATTACTAAAGAAAAAAAGTTCATGTAGCAATATGAATTGCAAGCAAATTCCTCTTTTTGAGGAAGAAATTTCTAATTTTGGCTAAAATTAATATGATTTGCCTTTAATTTTTAAGCAGCACAAAATTGGTTTTATTCTTGACCCCACTATGTGCATATTTTCTCCAACATAAATCTCAGTTCCACAATGAAATTAATTGTCATGGACATAAATGTAAATTTAATGTGATATCATTTATTATTCTTTTAATTTGATGCTTATCAAATTCAAAAACACCCAAGACTTACCAAAAGGAAATTCTGGCAGATCAATAAAACCCTGCTTTCCACAATCAGGAGTGTGAAAAGCCAGTGGTTGTGACATCAAATGTGCTTTTAGTTTAGCAGCTGCCAAACCCTCTTTCATGAGTTTCAGAGTTTTGAGGCAAGTGGTTGGATCAAAATGGCAGTTTATTCCAACAATAGAAGCACCTGAAGAGTAAGAAGGAAAGTCTTCCATAATGTCTAGATTTTTTGAGTGCAATGAATTGCTGACACCTCAAAATTCATCTGCATATGCTGCTTACACTGCTAGTTAATTCCTAACTTAAACATCAGTAATAAGGATCTATCCCCAATACCTCTGATAATAAGAAAGTATCCCCAATACTTCAGCAGTCTAGTTTAAGGAGCTTAGGACATATTGCCTTGAATCTTATTTTTACTCCTGACTGGAATAAACTGACTGGAAAAACTCTCCTTCTGGACCAACCAATTATATTTACTTCCATGTTGGCTCATGCCTTCGTTATTGATTCAATGAGCCTATTCTAATCAGAACTAACCAAACCATTGTGAAGAACACTTACACCTAACATCCAAAGAAAAGTAACAACTTGGAATGTCAGGAAAATAGCAAGGAATGTCATTGATGCCCCTGGTAGCACCTAAAGCTTGAGGTAGTTGCCTCATCTGCTTAATGGTAGGGTTGCCTCTGGTATTTTCCTTCTATTCAACCTAAGTATTGCTTACATTGAAAAGTGTAGCTAGCTACTCTTTCTGCTCATGTTAGGTACCAAGTATTTTTCACCATATGTTGATGGACAGGAGAGAGTCTTACCAGCATTTACAAGCCGAACAGCACATTCTCCAGGTGCTATACCATGCATGTCTCCTTCTGGACCAATGCATAGAGTAGCAGCAATGGGAAGCCCAGATTCCTTTAATGTCTCAACTGCCCACACAGCTTCTTCAACATGTTCAAAATACTAAAAAAAAAAAGGTATTTTTTAAAAAAGGAAATAGAGTTACAGCTGGAAGGGATAAAATAAAAAGTAGCCCCTAAGGAAAAAAACCCAAAGTTTCTAAATATCTAAAACATTTAAACTATTTCCTCAGGAAAATTGATTCCAATTTTACTTTTTGGAATAGTGGCGGATCTATATTTACAGGAAAATCCGGAGCTGTCTGGAACATTCCTGCTCCAGATTGACCTCAGATTCTATGGCGTTGTTCAGATGCTTTCCCTCCAACACACAGCAGCCATAGGGGCAGAATCCAGACCATCCAGTCAGGTAAAAAATGGTTTGTCCTCACTGGATCATCACGCTGAGTTGGCTTGTTGTCCTTGTCAGCCAGTTAAGAGCTCTTGGCCATCAATGGGCACATTTGCTGACATTTCTTTGCACAGAATCTGATTACAGCTCTGTAACTTTAGTTTTTATTTATTAAATGCATTGGAATTATGTGTTTTTAAGGCATTGAATAATTGACTATATGTATCACTTGTCAGCCCACCAGAGCCCCTGAAGCCACATGCAATGGGGGGGGGGGGGAATTAAAACATTACGTGCATACATTACAAAACGTTAGAGGCAAATATAAGTATTTCTTAAAAATAATTTAACATCAGACATTTAAAACGGTAGAACAGTTTCAAGATCTGAATGCTATGTGAAGCAACTCAATTGCAGTTGCCCACCAGAAGCTCACAAGGGATGAAGCTATCCAGACTTCACTTAAGAGTTTCACACTCAAGAGAAAACCCTTGTGAGGTGGTGGGTCATGAAAAAAGGCAAGCTCTGTCAACCTGAAATACTGGACAGAAAGGCTTACAGTATATGAGAGGAGGTGGGTCTCTCAGATATCTTGGCCTCGTGACACTCAGGGCTTTCTAGGGCAAAACTAAAAATCAGCCCAGTTCTTGTAAGACAAATACTATTTGGTCTCTACAATACACATCCAACAGCACTTTGCAGCACATTGCAATAGATGTTTCCAAATACAGTATATTCTGGCGTATAAGACTACTTTTTAACCCAAGAAAATCTTCTCAAAAGTCAGGGGTCGTCTTATATGCAGGTGTAGTCTTATTCATGGGAGTCATCTTAACTCTATATTTTAACTGGAAAAGTTGGGGGTCATCTTATACGCCCAGTCGTCTTATATGCCGGAATATACGGTATGTTTATATGMTAACAGCAAATAGAGTGCATTCTTAGGAGGTCATTAAAGCATTAACTACTGTGCCTTCCCCATATGGTGGATGAAGGCATTCCAGTCCACAGCAATGACCTATTTTCCAGTAGCAGTGCTAGTTCCAAGAGAATCTCCAAGTTACAAAAGTTCTTTCAGAGGGAGTGCAACATTGAYCAGAAAGACTGCAATACCACCCCCAGGTTAAGATGTCTACCAAGCCATAAAATTTCTGTCTCATCTGGGTTCAGGGATTCAGTGACTAGGACAGTGATTGGGAGCTTTCAATGGTGGCACAGTGTAAGTATTATGTATTTAATCTTATTTATATATGACTAGCCGTCCCCTGCTACGCGTTGCTGTGGCCCAGTCTGTGTATATGTGTTTTGTGTTTATATGTGTGTGTGTRTATATATATTTGTGTATAAGTGTATATATGTGCRTTTGCATATGTGTGTGTGTGTGTGATTTTGCAAATACGTTGTAATGTATTTTTTTTTTTGCTTTAAATCTCTTCTGCTGTGTTTTACAGTGTTTTTATGAGTGATGGTCACTTGTTGGCCTGATAGGTGTATTGTGTCCAAATTTGGTGTCAATTCGTCCAGGGGTTTTTGAGTTATGTTAATCCCACAAACAAACATTACATTTTTATTTATATTGATGTTCCTTTTTCATCCATTATGGTTGATTAATTTTTGTAATTAGTTATTGTTGGTCATGTATTTAATTTGAAATATTTATTTCCCTTATTATGTATTCTGTGATTTTATACTGTTTGTGAGCCGCTCCGAATCCCTGTGGGGAGAGGGAGCGGGATATAAATAAAGTTATTCTTTATTATTAAACCTTGCTTTATTTACTCACTGAATCCAGACAATTCAGGACTTCTACAGCTTCCTTGGCATCAGGCGTGAGAGAGAAACAGAGCTGGGTAGCATCAACATATTGATGCTACCAAGCTTGGTTGGTGGGAACGAGAGAGGGGACTTTTTCAGTGGCTGCCCCTCAACTCTGGAACTCCCTGCACAGGGGCACTAGAATGGCCCTCTCCCTGCTGTCCTTCTGGTGGAAGGCTAAACCCTTTTTATTCAGACAGATTTTTAAAAATGGTTTTTAAGATCATGTCAGGGGCTGCTGCGGTTTTATATGTTTTTATGGATTTAATATGAACTGTTTCTAATATTATGGATATTTAATACTGTTTTAATATTTGTATATTTTAAATTGTAATGCTTTTAATGTTAGCTGCTTTGAGTCTCCTTATAGAGAGAAAAAAGCAGGATATAAATAAACATAATAATATTGATTATATCCAACCCCAAACTATAGTGTACTCTACTGAGTCCTGTAGAACCTCACATGCTAGTGAACTGGAGGCTGAACGGCAGTCCCACAGCAACCGTTACTAAGATCATTGAGGCAGAAAGGAATCAAAATGCTCCCATGTCCCATATATCAATCAAAATAGTCTGGAAGGATACTGTAATTACTAGTATCAAATTCTGCCAAGAGATCCAGAAAAATCACAAAGATGTACTCCTCCTATCCAACTTCCAGTATACGTAATATACTAAGGTTGTTTCCATCCCATAAAAAGGCCTGAACCCATATTGGAATGGGTCCAAACAATCAATTTCAACCAAGAATACCTAGAGTTGTGTCATTACCACTCACTTTAAGACCATGTTTTTATAAGGGCTTATCTAGGATGATATGCCCCATTGCAGGTTTCTTCAATAGAGGTCTGACAATTGCTTCTTTTGTGGGGTTGAAATATAGCCTTTTAAAAAAGTAACACTTACAACTTACACCTTCTAACAGACCATCTTTTCTCTGATAGCTCTACTCAGTTGGGATGGGTATCTATCTAGCAGACAACTGGTTGCCTTCACTTCTGCAACAGGTTTCTCCACACCATCATATTGAACACACTGAAATGCATCTATCCAAACTGGACAAGTGCATGACTCACACTACCTTTAATGCAGAGTTAAAATCAGAGTTGATCTGAACAATATAGTAAATTCATCACAATATATTTCTGAGCGTTCTCTTGTGTATGTATGCATGCATGAACAAATGTTTGCATCTAATAACAGATTCTGTGGCACATAGACTTTTTTCCTTTTTTCAATACAACTAATAACTGTTTTTGATACACCAAAGCAGAGAGGTTTCATTGTTCCATTGATTACATATAATTTCTTTCACGATTTAACTTACCTCTGCAATTAAGAAATCCACATTTTGTTTCATAAAAATGTTTAGCTGCTTTCGAAATATTGATTTAATTTCAGCTTCACTCTTGCTGCTTAGATATGAAGGTGTTTGACTGACACCTCCAGCCACCAAGGCATCTCCTTCTGCAGCTACTTCTTTTGCAATATTGCAAGCGGCTTCGTTCACTTTTTGGCCCTAAAAGTAGGAAAATTTAATTAGTACAGATTTAAAGTGTATGTCTACTACACTATTATATCACCACAGTGCAAAATGAATAAAATGTATACATTATACAAATATATTATTTATTTTATTTATTTAAAACTTTTATATCCCGATCTTCTCTACCTCTGTAGAGGGACTCATTGCTTCATTTTAAAAATGTAATCAACTGATACATTCTCTGAGAAAATCATGATTGTCAACACTGACTGTGCTAAATGCTTCATTTCAAAATGTCCCAATTTACCTGTGTGGACAGATAAATCCTAGTTGCTCAGAGTATCTAACAGAGAGGGTGAGGGAGGAGAAAGGAGAAAAACAGCGAAAAAGGGATATATATATATATCACCCTGCCTTTGTTGTTTTATAAACATTATTGTGAGGAAATGTGGATATGTTATATTCTACTCGTATGATCCAATTTTTTAAAAACCCATACATCTTTCAGTTCATATACATTTAGGAAGACATTAATTTAAACTCCATGGATCACTCTCCTGAATCTTCAAAAAGATGGAGAAACCCATTCCTCTTCAGGTGAGAACTACAACTTGGACATGTGCAGACGGATCCTTCCCTCCCTCCACCAATAAATAGTTAAAGCATTTGTTATGGTTCAGCCAGAGGCTGATGATTGTTCAGTCAGAGGTTGTGACGAATGACTATTGTCTTTTAATAACCTTTTCTCCTATTGCTTTTTTGGACATAGTTTTTGATATTACCTTTTGCCTTTTTTATATTCACTTTTTTCAATAAACTGTTTAGTTAGTAATACTGGACTCTTGTGTGGTGTAAAGGTTAAAGTATTTGTATTAAATTAAAATGTAATTTCATTCTCTGGGTGAAAAATAGGGCCTAGATGTACTCCAATACTTTTACAATATTTCTCTTTTGCTATCAATTTGCTGTTATTCTTTCCCAGCACAAGAAGTTACTTCTTTGTAAAGAAATACAGGCTATACTTTTTAACAATATGAGCGGCGTCCTTTCTTAAATAGTCAGCCCTCCATATCCTTGGAGTCTTCATATATGGATTTAATCATCCATGGTATGAACATGTTTTTGTAAAAAGCAAACCTTGATTTTACATTATGTATGGGACACATCATTTTATTACGCCATTGTATATAATGGGACTTGTGGCCCTTCCACGTAGCCATATAACCCAGAATATCAAGACACTGGGTTATCTGAGTCCACACTGCCATATATTCCAGTTCAAAGCAGATAATGTGGGATTTTATTCAGCTATGTGGAAGGGCCTTGTACATCCATGGATTTTATGACCAAGCCCCAGTGGATACCAAAGGCCCGCTGTAGTAATACATAACGTGAAAGGGATTTCCAGGAAATAATTCCATTAAGATTAATCTGCATTTATTTTTCACGGCTTTATAACATCCCTGGAGTTTTGCAATCCATTCCTATTGCAGCATATTAAATCATGGTACATTTCATTTGAATCTTCATATTTCAATTTTTTAATAAACGAGTAACAGTGTATAAAGATAAACCATGTTTTTGTACTGCAGTCATGAATCTGCCTTTGTGCCAAAAATATTAAAAAGGAAATGAAACTACTCACAGAAATTTTGTCAGCTACATAGTTTCCCCTGTTCTCTAATTTGTCATCACTGGCATAAAAGGTGAATGTTTGTAAAACATTTGCTCCAGCTCTTAGGAATTCTCGATGCAGCTGACGAACTGCAAAATGTTTAAACAAACCAAGAGTTAAATGTAATCCTGTATTAGTATTGTTTCAGCAACTTCTTCTACATTTGTTATTATATATTACATAATTATTTACTTAATATTGTACAGCACTGTTAAAAAAAGAAACAGCACGCTATTCTCTTTGCTTGCAAGTGGTACATAACTAATGTGAAACTATCTCATTTTTGGCTAAACAATTAAGCCAAAAAGGTTGTGCATTACTTTTTTGTAATGCACAACTTGTGTGCATTACATTCAAATAAATATGGTATAAAGACATACATCTGCCTCCATCTAGCAGCAACCATTACTATGATGAATTCACACATTTTTATAACGTAGATAGCATGTGCAGTAGGACAACTGAATAAACAATTTAGAAAGCATTTCTACCAACATATTTAAATGGGATTTGTTTCTAAGTATTTCTGTTTACAATTATGACAGGTTTTTTTTAACTCCACTGCATAGGCAGCTTATATTAGCTATTTCATAGTAAACCTAAAACCATGAGCACAGACTACATTGCTCAAATTTAAGACATTGGGTCCAATGTAAAGGAATGTCATTCTTACAAGTCAGGTCATACATATAATTCTTCATCAATCAAAAAGTAACTTAAAATAATTTACTATCAAATCTCTTTCACTCCGTTTGACATGATCATATTTCTGCAAGCCTTTTATTACAAATGATTTTAGGTGCAAAATACTTGTTCATTGTATTTTCAAATGATTTTGATTCCTGATTTTGAGGGAGTTGACATGTTGCATGGAGAAGTTAATTTCTCTTTATTGTCTGTTCAGGACAGATAGAGCATTTGCCAAATTATTTTGGACACAGAACTGCTATTCAAAATTGTATCAGCACACCTAGCTTTTGGCAGCGTTAAAAGCAGGCAGTACCCAATAGACTATGAATTAAGTTAGTAGGAGTATTTTGTTGCTGTCACCACATCTTTTGAAGGTGCATCAAGACAACCCTGACCAGGACTGCCTTTCACCTGAAAACCGATGTCCTCACTGCGGAAGAACATGAGGATCAAGAATAGGTCTCCACGGCCACCTGTGTAACCACTACCAAGCACTACACTTGGAGGGCCATCATCCTCGGACTACAAGGGATTGCCTAAGTAAGTAAGTTTCCGTCTCTGTAAAAAAGCATTTGTGTACTGATTGCTTCAGATATGGGACAAATAGTAATATACTTTAAAATATTGTGATAAAATACTGTATTTATGAAACTGGAATAATGTTAAAAAAATCAAAGACATTTAAAGACAAAGTAATACTTCTTTTGAGTGCAGACCCATTGAATCAACAGAATTAACAAATCTATCAAATTTCCATTGATTAAATGGATTGAACTAGCTATTGGATTGAATATCTACACTGAGCTAAAGTGTGACTCATTGAAATAAAGGAGACTTGAGACAAATTATTTGTTCCATTGGTTTCAAGAAGACATAGAATTATTATTATTATTATTATTATTATTATTATTATTATTAAGCCCTTGGTGGTGCAGTGGGTTAAACAGCTGAGCTGCTAAACTTGTTGACTGAAAGGTCACAAGTTCCAATCCGGGAAGCAGCGAGAGCTCCCAATGTTAGCTCCAGCTTCTGCCAACCTAGCAGTTCAAAAACATGCAAATGTGAGTAGATCAATAGGTACCCTTCTTGCGGGAAGGTAACGGTGTTCCACTCAGTCATGCCAGCCACATGACCTTGGAAGCGTCTATGGAAAACTCCAGCTCTTCGGCTTAAGATGAGCACCAACCCCCAGAGTCAGACACGACTGGACTTAATGTCAGGGGAAAATCTTTACTTTATTATTATGTTTATGTTTATTTACATCTTGCTTTTTCCCCATTTGGAGACTCAAAGGAGCTCACAATTAAAAACATATAACTTAAAATATACGATCTACAAGTGTTAAAACAATATTAATCATCATTAAAAGCATACAAAATCACAGCAGCTCCTGATAATATTAAAAATCTTCTTCTTTAAAGGCCTGCTTGAATAAAAAGGTTTTAACTTGCCACCTGAAGAACAACAGGGAGGGAACCATTCTGGCTTCCCTGGGCAGGGAGTTCCAGAGTTGAGGAGCTGCTGCCAAGAAGGCCCTCTCTCATTTCCACCAATTGAGCTTGAAATGGACATAGGACTGAGAGAAGAATCTCTCCTTAAGATCTCAGGACCTGGGCAGGTTTGTAAAAAGGGGATGTGGTCAACCAAATAGCCTGGACCTGGGCCATCTAGAATTGCATTGGCCTCATCCCACTCAAGCTTAAAGAGTAGGCAAAGAGTTTGCATCCCACCACACATGTTGTGGCTTCTTCCTGCAGAATTCTGGGGCTTGTATTTTAGTAAGACCCAGGAGCTCTTTGGCTAAACATTTTAAAGTCCCCTCCCACTAAACTACAAGTGTGGATTCAATAAGAAATAAATCTCATTCTTTTAAATGAAATTTACACCTAGTACCTTTGTTCAGGAATGTATTTTGCGGGCTAGTCTATATGAATAAAAATACCTGAATGCACCTTGAATCCAGCACCAGAAGTCTACATGACACACTGTGACTTCTGGTGAGGATCGCAAGTTTTCTGTTATTAATCCAATCTTGCCTTGCTTTAAGCAAAGTTGAGGGATACTCCAGGATTTTCAGGAAACTCCAGTTTTAAAGCTTCCTGGACAGCTGCATTGTGTCCATTCCACCTTGATTCACTGTCCAGATGGATGCTGTTGCCATCATCCTTCCCTTGCAGCACACAGAGATTTTTGAAGTGCCTGACTATCACAGTTGCATCTGCTAATATCAAAATGGAATACCTATGTGATCAGCTATGAGGAAACAGTCGCTCTACTTTCTCTTTGCTGATCAAGTGGGTGCCCTATTCTGACATCAGGAAATGTGACAAGTGACAATCAAGTATCTTCAGGAAACTTCATGGTGAGTGGGGAGCGGCATCAGCAATACAGGGGCAAGCCAGCAAGAGAACAGACAAGATACATGGCCTTTGATTCAGCAGGTACTTTCTGGATCTGGGGCAACTCTACAAGTACAATCTTATGCATGTGCATTCAGAAACAAACCCTGAGTGAGCACAACTGAATTTACTTTCAGGTCAAGAAGTGTATGATTAAGGAATATACCTTTAATCATGGCTGAATTTAGCTGGATTGAGATCAGCATGTTTATTCTCCAATTGGATAATTTTATGTAAACACCACCACATATATTATAGATTACACCAACCTGCTTCTGGGTGTTCTACTGTAGCTTCTGGAGTCCATGGCCCAGCTTTTACATAGCCTCTCTTTTCAAGAGCAATGACAAATCCTCCGTCACCAATCACAACTTCTCCTGCATTTAAGCGTTCTAAAATACCCTAAAACAAAAACAGATATACAAAAAATAACATGTATAAATGTTTGCATCGCGATTACAGTGTAACAACAATCTGACACACAACCCAAACAATAACCAAAAGGATTGATTTAGCAAGTTTACAATGCATCAGTGTGAACTTGATAAAGTAACCTTTTTGTAAATTGTATCGAGTCATTGGATCTACTCTAACTGATGGCAAGGGGGCTAGCAAAATCAGTATAGAACCATGTTATATTCAATCCCAATTTTTACCATTCTATTTATAAAATCAAACTCTGTAAACAATATAATAATATAACAAATATTATTATAGCTAACTGTGCATCTCCAAAAGGTTACAGTGTTGCTATATAGGTTGTAATCTTTGGTATGCACAAATTTGTCAGTATAGGTCCTCCAGACAAAGTAAATGCTGCTGTAGACTGGCCTGTCCCAGACCATTCAGTGGCAATTCCCAGCAACAACATTTCATTCCCATCTTTTTTTAAAAAAACAGGACATATTTGTATTGAAACAACAAAAATACCCTAAAGGACAATCCATACCAGTTCCTTGGCCACTGTTTTCCCATGCTGTCAGTAGCAGTGAATGAGGGAGAAGGGCAGACTTTCTTTATAGCTTAGATACCATTTAAGATTTTACAACATTGTTCCTTCACAAAGAAATTTACTTGCAAATTTACTGAGGCTCAACATTCAGAGCTAACAGTAAAACAACAAAAAACATCCTATGGCAATTTCCACTAATCCCTCAGCTGCCAACGGCTGTGAGGGTATTCTCCTTATTTATATCACTCCTGCCACCAAATATGAGGACTTCCACTCATTCAATCACTGCAGCTACCAATTGTATGGAATTCCTAGATGCCCTTGTGCTACCAGTGTGAAACTATCTTATCTACCCCCTCAACAACACCTTTATTAACTGCTGCCACCACAAATATCATACTTGAAGTCAAGCTTTTCAATATGTTGAATTCTCAGAAGCTCAAGTGTAAAAAATTGAACAAACTGATGCAATATATATAAATCCTGACTGATGTTAACTCTAAGGCACATCACTTACTCTCTCCCTCTTGCCTAACTTACCTAAATGTGATCCTGACTCTAATTTTGTTATCTCTAATTCACTCAAAGGTTGTAGATGCTCTGCGGATCTGGAGGAAAGACATAGGGTGCACCTACACTGCAAAATTAATGCAATTTGACATCACTTTAATTGTCTTGGCTCAATGCTATTGATACAAATTATAAGATTTCTCCCTCGTCTCCCTATTCTATATACAATCAGATTGTAGATGAATCTCTTTTCAACACTGGCAATAGCAGAGAGCCCGAGGGCAGCAGGCCAACTTTGATGAAGTCAGGCAGGTGGCATATCTGTTCTCCAAATACTCTACTAGCAGGGCTAGTACTAAGTTTCACCCAATGCTCCAGCATGCCTTGACCCTTTACACACACACACACACACGTGAAATGCAACCCTTAGAATAGTTCTTCACAGCTAGGGCAATGTGACCCATACCTCCTTAAAGTGCTGACTCCTTTTATGCTTGTCAATTCTTAGTCCTCTGCTTTGCCTTGCCATTCAGCTTGTATGAAATGTATTTAGGCCATAACGAGGGAGATTTTTTTGCCCAGGAATCCTTTGGAGGTGGTATGGGCTGAACATTCACTTATGGTTTTGAAAAATGGATATCTTATTATGTTAAACAGCACAACAGGCTTCTACAAGAGATAAGTGTTACACCTGGAGGCTTCTAGAACAGGAATTCTTTACTGTCAGAAAAAGGGAGACTGAGGGAAATTTCGTACCAAAGGCACCAGATCTGGATGCAGCCCAAAAGCCATAGTATGTTATTCTGAATTTAAATACTCCCTGAAAAATTATTCCTCTACCATACAACTATCCGAAGTATCACAGAATAATCTGTGATACTCATTGCTCCACCCATACATTTCCATTTATTTCACATGTAATGGGTATAAGGATTCTGCATTGTTATCAAATATGTGTTCCTCTGCCCCTAACATTGATAAAATTTACTTCTTTGCATTCATATTTTTAAAATTCAGGGTAAATAATTGCCTCTTGTTAGGATTGCTGATGCTTTTTTCACTTTGTCATTCTTGCACCTCTGTCCAGCATTACGTGCTACGCCATCTATCTTAAGAAATGTATATAATAAAATACACTTGCTGGTTTGTTATTCAAATTTACAGCTTCACAGATTGTGGTAACTACTACATAAAATGTCCATTCTCAAATGCATAGTTCTCATTTTAGGATCCATTTGCTTCTGATTTTGTGGTTCTGTGTCTTGTCATATTGAGGAGGGGGACAAACTAGTTTTCTGCTAGTTTAGACCTCACAACCTCTGAGGATGCTTGCCATAGATGCAGGTGAGACGTCAGGAGAGAATGCCTCTAGAACATGGCCATATAGCCCGAAAAAACCTACAACAACTTAGTTTTCTGCTGCTCTAGAGATTGGAATTCAGAGCAATAGGAAAAGAGATTCGACTAGAACTTCCTGATGGTAAGAGTTGTTTGGCAGTGGAATATGCTGCTGCCTCGGAGCATGGTGGAGTCTCCTTCTCTGAAGGTTTTTAAGCAGAGGCCAGATGGCCATCTCTCGAGGGTGCTTTTATTGCATTTCCCTGCATGGCAGGAGCTTGGACAGGATGGCCCTTGTGGTCTCTTCCAGTTCTGTGATTCTATGAAACCGACTCTGGCAAACGGTCTTTACTGGCAGGATTTATTTTCCATTGCTTTCCTCTTTGAGAGTGTGTGACTTGCCCAAAATCACCCAGTGGGTTTTCAAGGCTCAGAAGGACTTTGAACCCAATATCCCAAAGTGAACATATAAGGCCAGGAAAATCTGGCCGTTTCCATGATATTTACTGACTTTCACTGGGCTGTTTCCATGATATTTACTCACTTCCACTTTTACAGTTTGGTCCCACTCTGGGCCAATAATAATAAACATTATTTAGGACCTGTCCTCTCTCCCCAAAGGGACTCAAAGTCAGGGGGAATTACAGCATTTACTGGAAATCAGAGTATTCCAGAGTTTTGGGGCAGCCTGGACAAGGGAAAGGATCATGGCTGTTCATTGCTGCTGATTTCTCCCCTCGTTCCTAGTCTTGCAGGTACTTTTGCTGATGTCAGAACTGGCACCTGGTATGGCCAGCAAGTCACATGGAGCTCCAATAGCATTGAGCCACTGGCAGTCAAAGTGGTGTCCAACTGCATTCATTCTGATGAACACTAAATCTCCCTCAATTGTTCCAAAGGCACGAAAAGCATTAGGGGAGTATGTTTTGCCATAAATTAAAGGTAGCAATGTGCCTATTCCAATCCCAATCATAAAGTTGTGCATATTATGAAATGAAAAACATTCTGGAACTCTGAATAGTATATTATTGATATATTAGATGTTCATTTATTTTGGGATTTGGCTGTTTATATCAAGGATTGAATGTTTGCCTTTTTTGCTTGTTTCCTTGTTGGAATCCACCCTGAGTTCCCTCGGGGAGATAAGGCTGAATATAAATAAAGTATTATTATTATTTTACTGAAACAAAAACACAGTATGTCACAGCAAATGTGATCTATACACTGGATTTTGTATCACAAAATCACAATGATTTTTACAATTATTATTATTATTAGAAACACAAGAGGCGGCCCTAGGTAATTTTCAACAGTAAGCAAACAGCATTTTGCCCCCCCCCCCAACCAATCACTGATATATATTTTCTGTTCGTCGTGGGAGTTCTGTGTGCCATATTTGGTTCAATTCCATCATTGGTGGAGTTCAGAATGCTCTTTGATTGTAGGTGAACTATACATCCCAGTAACTACAACTCGCATATGTCAATGTCTATTTTCCCCCAAGTGCCTCAAGAGCGCCCCTGGGCAAAATCAACTATACTGCAAATGCTTACTTTGCGTAATGGGTTGAGCCGCCCCTGAGATTAGTACACAGCAAACAAGATCACTATAATGGCTTTTGTATTGGTTCACACGTTGGACACTTCCCAAGTGTCTAGGACTGTGTGATGTATCAGCGAATAATGTGCATGCAGATCTGAGTAGGGTGGCCTTTTGCAGCTGACAGATGGTAAGTTTGTCAGTGCCAATTGTTTTTAAGTGCTGGCCAAGGTCTTTAGTGGTGCCAATCACCACTGGGACCACCTTTATTGGCTTGTGGCAGAGTCTTTGCAGTCCTTATTATTATTATTATTATTATTATTATTATTATTATTATTATTATTATTGTCAAAATTCCTCTGACACCCTGGAGTAGTAGAGAACCGTTGAGGCAAGCCCTGAGTGCCAAAAGTTCCTTGTGCAAAAGTTATCCTTCCTAGTGCTTAAATTCTCCACACTTTACCTGGATGGTATCATTCCCCACCATCTAGCAGGGCTTGAAAATATTTGTTGATAGCAACGCCATATGGTTTCCGATGGCGCCAGCTCTTTCCTAGGGACTCCTTGCCCCAAACAAACAAACAAACAAACAAACCCCCCAAAAGCCAGGCAAAGTCCCAGGCGGCAAGTCGCGTTACCTTCTTGGCTTTTGCAGTCCCTCCAACAGGAGCCATGATCCTCGAGTCTGCACACCAGACCCTACCGCGAAAGAGCACGAGACAGAGAGAGCGCTCCGTCGCGCCTCCCCTATATATAGCCCGCGAAGGGGGTGGGGGCAGCGCGAGCGGGATGCTGATTGGAGGAGAGCCCGGTTCGTCACGGCTCCCTGAATACAGGTGTGCCAGCCAGCGCGAGGCCAAGTAACGGTCACTCTTGGCCTGGCCCTGGAGTTCGCCCTTTTTGGGACAGAGACGTACAGTCCAGTCACTCACTTAGTCAGTCAGTCTCCTTCCACACAGCTGAATGAAATCCCACTTTATCTGCTTTGAACTGGGATATATGGCAGTTTGGACTCATATTCCAGTTCAAAGCAGATATTGTGGGTTATTCTGCCTTAATGATATGGCTGTGTGGAAGGGCCCTCAGTCTCTCTGCCTGAAGCTGCTATATCGTTGTGTAGACCAGGCATGGGCAAACTTGGATCCTCCAATGTTTTGGATTTCACCTCTCACAATTCCTAACAGCTAACATTCAAACTGCAGGTGCACCCTAGTCAAAGACTCCATACAGCCCTATATCTCAGAATATTAAAGCAGGAAATCTCACACTATCTGAGTGTGGACTCAGATAACCCAGTTCAAAGCAGATATTGTGGGATTTTCTGCCTTGATATTCTGGGTTATATGACTGAGGGCACTTCCACACAGCCCTATATCCCAGAATATCAAGGCAGAAAATCCCACAATATCTGCTTTGAATTGGGTTATCGGAGTCCATGCTCAGATAATGTGGGATTTCCTGCCTTGATATTCCAGAGTATAGGGCTGTGTGGCAGGGCCCATATTGGGATTTTCTACCTTGATATAGGGCTGTGTGAAAGGGCCCTCAGTCCACACTCAGATAATGTGGGATTTTCTGCCTTGATATTCTAGGATATAGGGCTGTGTGAAAGGACCCTGAGTGGAAGAGCCCTTAGCCTTTTAGGGCCCTTCCACACAGTCCTATATCCCAGACTATCAAGGCAAAAAATCCCACATTCTCTGAGTGTTGACTCAGATAACCCAGTTCAAAGCAGATACTGGGCTCTTCCACACAGCCCTATCTCCCAGAATATCAAGGCAGAAAATYCCACAGTATTTGTTTTGAACTGGGTTATCTGAGTCCACGCTCAGATAATGTGGGATTTCCTGCCTTGATATTCCGGAGTATAGGGCTGTGTGGAAGGGCCCATATTGGGATTTTCTACCTTGATATTCTGAGATATAGGGCTGTGTGAAAGGGCCCTCAGTCCACACTCAGATAATGTGGGATTTTCTGCCTTGATATTCTGGGATATAGGGCTGTGTGGAAGGGYCCTTAGGCCACACTAGAAGGGAGGTCACTTTCCTTTTTCCCCCTCTTTCCCCTCTCCACATAACTCCCTCAAAGTGGACCATAGCTTAAAAAGAAAATACTCAGCCAGATATAAATCCACTACATTTCCCAGTGTGAGAAAAGGCACTCCTTCACAAAATACTATGCCAACAGGCAATGATTGAAGGCATATTTCTTTAGCCTGTGAGGCGCCTCAAGTCTTTGCTGCAGTGTGGGGCTTCCTGACCCCTCAGGGAAATGACACAGGAGGCCAACGGGGGTTTTGTAACTCAAGAAGCCAAATAAAACACTGTAGACCTCTGTTCCTGGAATTAGGACAGGGGACAAGGCCCTCGGAAAGCATGTGGAAAAATATGCGCAGTTGGCCAGGCTATTAAATTCATTCCAGAAATACACACACGCCCTTGGAGTACATTCACTGCCACCACAACTTCAACTCACTTTAATGGGTGCATCTGCAATGTAAAATGGATGTAATTTGACATGGCTCAACAGTAAAGAGCTATGGGAGCTCTAGTTTTACAAGATCTTTAGCCTTCTCTGCTTTAGACTCAGACTCTGTAGACTAACCCAGTTCTAAGCAGATATTGTGGGATTTTCTGCCTTGATATTCTGGAATATAGGGCTGTGTGGAAGGGCCCAAAGAGTGCTCAACAAACTACAAAATGTCTTTCCTATGCTCTCCTTTGAAGCAGGAAAAAGAAATCCCTTTCTCCCAATGACACTTTCTCTGCCATATAATGCAGTTAGAACTGAATTATAGTGGTCTGTATAGATTTATATAGTACAGACTGACCTGGATTATCTGAGTCTATACTGCCACATAATCCAGTCCAATGCATTTCATCTGCATACTGAAACTGCATGATAGGGCAATGGAGATGGGGCCTCAGACACAGTGAAGACACCTGCCCTTGTGTTTTGCTATTCTGCTGCTGAATGTGCATTCCCAGTGTGGAATATATCTCACCCTTAATGAGACATGCCGCATTTTCACAGGATGTCTACGCCATACACAGCTGGAGAAATTATACTGTTTAGCTGGTATTGCACCACCTGACATCCATTGGGAAATAGCAGCCTGTAATGAAAGGACCAAGGCAGTGAGATCTCTGGCCCATCCTCTGTTCAGATATCAGCCAGCATGCTAATGTCTTAAATCAAGAAATAGTTTTCTAAGATCTACAGAGATATTCTCAGGAACACCTCAGCAAGCAATAGTCCAAAAGTGGCAGGCTAAACCCAGAACCTCAATCCATGGCTGATAGCAGATGATAACATAGAAGATTGGGCGACTTGGAAGGTGTGAACACTTTGTTCTGGTACCATGGGATACAGAGCCAATCTTAGGAAATAAGGCCACAAAGTGAAGTCCATGACATGCGAGTGTAGAGAAGAGTAAAGCACAGTCCAAATTATTTATTTATCATGTCATAAGCAAACCAAGGGTACCGCTGAAAATGTATTTAAAAAAAACACAAAGTTTTAAAACTTGGCAATTTATTAAATGTCCTTTGACCAGAAGCTGGCCACATGGGGTCCCTCTGGTGTTGCTATAAGGAGGTCCTCCATTGTGCATGTGGCAGAGCTCAGACTGCATTGTAATAGGTGGTCTGTGGTTTGCTCATTTCCTCACAGCAGAGTGACCATTGTGAGCCCCATGCCCTGGAAACCACCAATTACTACAATGCAGCCTGATCCCTGCCAAATGTACAATGGACGACCTTCTTATAGCAACACCAGAGGCACTCCAAGTGGCCAGCTTCTGGTCAAAGGAAATTTAGCACAGTATAATGCCAAGTTTCTAACTTTGCTTGTGTTTTTAAATACATTATAATTATATCCTCAATTCACTTCTGACACGATAAATAAATAAATCCTGGCAATGCTTTGGCTTTCTAAAGAAGCAAAAGAAATCCTCTATTTTCTGCATAAAATAAAATAAAATAAAATGGAGGGGGGAAGTGCATCTGTACAGTAAGACAATGCAGTTTCAACTGCTTTGATTCCCATGGCTCAAGGATATAGAACAGGAATGGGCAGGCATGTAGCCGGGGGGGGGGGGCTTGAGGGGCTTCAGCCCCCCCCCGAAATTCTCATGGTGGTTCGCAAAATGTTATGTTTATTCACCATACTCAATATATCCCATATGCATGGGGGTATTGGGGTAATGATACAAAAGGTTTGCTAGGCTAGACCCTCTTTCACTCAGACTCAGCCCCCCCCCGAAACTCAGCCCCCCAAAACCCCCCCTGAAAATATTCAACCCCCCCCCCCCCGAAATGAAATCCTGGCTACGGGCCTGGGCATGGGCCAACTTGGTGTTTTGGACTTCAACTCCCACAATTTGTATTTGTATGGAACCAGTTGGCAGTGCTGTCTGATAGTTTGAAAGTAGGAGGCAATGCAGGTGCCTGCTTCAGCAAAGCTAATGGACAAATCCAGATCACTTGAGACAGAATGATTTCAAAGTGTGTTCACATTACCATTCTCCCTGGAGGTTATATCCACATATGCTGATTTTGGAACTAGCCCATAGTTCCAAAGCATTAGGAATTGTGGAAGCTGAAATCCCAAACACCTGGAAGGCCCAAGTTTGCCCATATCTGCTATAGAATCATAGGAGCTGCAGTTTGGTGAGGCAACAGCATCATTGGACATAGAAGGCTTTGTAAAGCGCCAGTCCTGATGCTTGCACAGCATTGAACCTCGGCTGTTAAAGTAGTATCAAATTGCATCCATTCTCCAGTGTAGATGCAGCCCTGGCTCCTGGCTTGACCTCAGAGGGGAGGGGTGGGGAGGACGCAAGGATTGGCCGGAGGATTGGCCGGCGCTGTCCAAACGGGGAGAGAGAGGGAGGGAAGGGAGGGAGAGAGAGAGAACCGGGGGCTCGTCTTGTACGTCTTCAGTCTCCGCCGCCACTGCGTCCCTTGAAGGCCAAGCCAAGCCAAGCCAAGCCATGCTCCGGGGCGCCTTGAGGGGCTTCCCCTTTCGGCTGCCCGCGCGGCCCTTTGCCTGCGGCCCGGCCACGCCGAGGGGGTGAGTCCAGCCTGGGCTCCCGGGCGGCGGGCTGCGTCGCGTGGAGAGCGGGTGCATTGACCCCACCTGGGCTGCCCTGGCTCAAGGCTAGGGACTGTGCACTTCTCTAAGGTCTTCTCTGCCCAAGAGTGCTGGGACCAGGTGCCTCTACAAACTACAACTTTCATGAGCCCATAGCATTGAGCCAAGGCGCTTAAAAGTGGTGTCGAGGTGCATTCATTCCATCTACAGCAGGCATGGGCAAACTTCAGCCTTCCCGATGTTTTGGACTTCAACTCCCAGAAATATCTAACAGCCGGTAAGCTGGCTGGGATTTCTGGGCGTTGAAGTTCAATACACCTGGAGGGCCGAAGTCTGTCCATGCCTGATCTACAGTGTAGATGCACCCCTGGGAGAATTACCCTTGGCTCCCACTCCAAAATAACTCTTAGCCCCATCTTCTTCTTCTCTAGTACAAAATCCCATTAATTCCACACTTCAAAATAACTGGTAGCTTGAAATGTGGGGAGCACCTTAATAGCTTAAAGGAGACATAGGCAAACTTGGTCCCTCTCGGTGTTTTGGACTTCAACTCCCACAATTCCTAACAGCCCACCAGCTGTTAAGAATTGTGGGAGTTGAAGTCCAAAACACCCGGAGGGCCCAAGTTTGCCCATGCCTGACTTAAAGGCACCAGATCCCATATGTTTTTGGAAGCTAAGCTGAAACAGCCCTAGTTAATACTTGGATGAGAGACCAGATAGGAGCAGGTGCTGTCTGCTATAGGGTTGAACATCTCTTATCAAGCAGACCAAAATTTGAAATACTCCAAAATTGCCTCAAAAAAGACTTTCTGTATTTCAGATTTTAATATTAATGTCAAAAATATGTAGTATGATGTTACATAGGATTTGTGCTACATTAGAACAGTAAAGACAAATATCACCTAAGTAAAATAAACATTAAATATTAAATAACCAGAAAAATAAAATAAAGTGTAAACACTAAACTAATCTGGGAATCTGCTATTGCAACACATCCAATGAAGTGGTTTAAAACCAGTATAAAAAAGATTAGGTGGCTGAGATAGTAGGTGCATCTACTCTGAAGAAATAATGCAATTTGGCACCACTTTATAACTCCTGAAAATGGGAGTTATAGTTTTCTGAGGTCTTTAGCCTTCTCCGCAAGAGTGCCAGTGCCTCAACAAACTGCAACTTCCAGGATTCCATAGCAGTGAGCTAGGGCAGTTAAAGTAATGTCCGACTGCATTAATTCCACAGTGTAGATGCACCAAATGACACCTTTGCTTTGAGACGGTTCAACATACACAAGCTTTGCTTCATACACAAAATTATTAGCAATACTGTGTATAAAATTGCCTTCAGGATATGTGTATAAGGTATAACATAAATGAATTCTGAATTTAGATTTTAGTCCCATTTTCAAAATAATCTTGTTATCTATGTAAATATAGGTGCTCCAAAACTTGTGGGAAAACTATCTAAAATCCAAGCCACTTCTGGTTCCAAGCATTTTAGATCAGCCTGTATTTCAGAGGAAGCAGTTGGCAAAATAGCCTATGTTAATTCCTTGCTGAAGAAACCCCAGTGAAATTCAAGGGATCACACACATAGCAGGGTCAACCCAGGTTAGTACAGGCAGTCCCCATGTTATGAACAACATAGGTTCTGTAGGTTTGTTCTTAAGTTGAATTTGTTTGTAAGTTGGAACAGGTACATTTAATAAGTGTAATTCCAGCTCTTCTTTATATATATATATATATACACACACACACACACACACACACACACACACACACATAGTGGTGGGTGAAACAGTAAAAATATACACACATAGTGGTGGGTGAAACAGTAAAAATGAATTAAGAAGAGGATGAAAATGATTGTTTGAAGGAGTAACTGTGGGAGAAATAGAAGAAAAATCTGTGGGAGAAAATGAATTTTATGGAGATTTAAGTTGAAAATGGGTACATTTGGAAATAACAAATCCAGAAAAGTGGAAGTTATTTGGGTGAGAAATGAACTTGAACAGGGAAATAATTTGGAGGGGGATAAATATGGGTTACAATCAGATGCCAGAGCATATTTTTTACATAAAACGTGTGTTTTTGGGATAAGTTGTTTTAATTAATTACATTTATTTTGGAAGCCTGGGTGGAAAATATATTTTGGATGAGATGTATGGGATGTGACCAAGTTTTGGCCTGAAACTCTTCGGTGAACAACTTGTTAGAACCTCTGGCTTGTGACTCATGTGCATAAGAGAACATCATGTCAACAGCCTAAGAGTAAAATATTAACACTGGGACCCTATTTGTTCAGCTATTTATGTGAAACATATGTAGCACAGTTTTATGGACAGTCCCTAACATTAAGCATTCTATTTGATTTTTTTTTCCTAGGGAAGAAAAACCATTTTCTTTAAAAGCAAAATGGAAAGATACGGCAGATACATTAATTATTGGAGGAGGTTGTGTTGGTGTGAGCCTTGCATATCACCTGGCCAAAGGTGGCATGAAGGATGTGCTTCTTTTGGAAAAATCTGAACTCACAGCTGGATCTACCTGGCATGCAGTAAGGGAAAAATCTAATGCATTATACTTGAAAATAAGGCATAAGATTTGTTTTGTTGCCTATATTATAATAATCCAATAAACATTTTATTGCTATTTTGATATAACTGGGAATAGACTTTAGGGAGTAATTTAAATTATCTCTGTGTAATTTAAATTACACAGAGATAAAGTGCCACATAGCAAAAACCTATTCATTACTGATGCTTAATATTAAAGAGGGGCAGGACTGCTTGTCCACTGGAGCAGCTGCTGTAGCAACAAAATGCATGCTCAGCAACCAGAATGAGTGAACCTTGCAAATGTTACCATGAAAACCAAGCAAGCAGAAGCAGATTTTAGTAATTAGCATGTTGCCTAGGAATTGCTGGACTTTGGGCACATTGAGAGGCAAAGACATCAACAACAATGAACATTACAAAAAAGGTCTTCTGAGAGACTCCCCCCCCCCCCGCCCGCTTTGCATTTAGGTCAAGATGTTACCTCAATTCTACCTTTCCGGTTGTCAAGGATGCATTTTAAATTTATTTATTTAGCAGTTTTGTATACTGGTCTTCTCACCTCTATCGAGAGACTCAGGCCGGTTTCCAACAATAATATCACAAACAGTCATTAAAAACATCATATTACATATTAAACTAAAAACATTAAAATAGCAAAATGCAGTCATATAATGCTTACACTGATGTAAAGAGAGCTTCAGTTTATTAAGAATCTTGGATTATTTTGATCATACAATTCACAGAAAAAAATAGTCTATTTATGTTTCAGAAGTTAGGCAAGACATTCTGCTTTGGAACATCAGGGGGCTCATTAGACAGATCCAAGTTGCACAAACTGTAGTGACATAGTTACCAAGAAGAGTTGTCACAAGGTAATATTAGATGTAAGATCATGTGTCAGTGAAGATTATTCTAGTAACATTAAACTAATAGCTACCGTTCAATAACTTCTGAAGTGGAGTACATTTATAATCATTATTACATATATTTCTTTATTTTTGTTAAATGGGAAATTTCTGCTCTGGGACCCTCCAGAGACAGCAGAGACAACCCCAAATGTACCTCCCCCCCCCAAAAAAAAGCTAGAATCGGTTGGAAGTCCAGTTTTAGATTTGAAAAGTAGGCAGTTTCTTAAAATGTTAAAATTATGGAGGCAATGACTTTATTTCTGAAGTTGTGAACAATAGGTAATTTGCTGTTTTTAAGCCAGAGAAAAAGTAATTGTGGGAGTCTGGAGAACACAAGGGAAGACTAAGATAGCCCTAGGACAGTGTTTGCTGAGGGGGCCCATATTTCCCCATCTGTGCTGTAATCAATCAGAGCAGTGGATGTCTGCCATAAATGTGGGTGAAACATCAGGAAAGAATGCTTCTGGACCATGGCCCAGAAAACTCATAGCAACCCAGAGATTCAAGCCATGAAAGTCTTCGCCAATACAATCACAGCAGTACTTGATACATTTCATAAAATATGGTGAATTTTCCAGATAGTTTATTTACTACATGAAATAGCCCAACTAGGATGAGGGCATTGCTTTTCAATTGAGAATTTTTCCCTCCAAAAGGAAATTTTCCTCCTTTCTCCAAATTAAAACTTCAGTTGAGCATTCAGGAACAACAATTTATGCAATCAAAGAAAATGGGCAGGCAAAATTACCAACAGGATATAAATACAGCAAATATTAGGGTGTCTCACTTTCCACCATATTATAATTTGAGGGCTGAAGGTAAGCTTCACTGAGGAGCAACCACCCCTTCCCACCCCCAAAAAACTGAGGTGCAATTTTGGGCCTCCACTGGAGATACTGGCTACTTGAGCATTTCATAGTTTCCTAGCATTTAGTCTTCATTTCTTCTATGTGCCCTTGCATTTAAATGTTTGGTCTGTGCCAGTATTTATTTACTGTGTCAAAAGCAAGTTGGGGGTACAGTTATAATGTATTTAAAAACACAAAGTTTAAAACTTGGCATTATATTAAATGTCCTTTGACCAGAAGCTGGCCACTTGGAGTGCCTCTAGTGTCTCTGTGAGAAGTCCTCCATTATGCACGTGGCAGGGTTCAGGCTGCATTGTAGTAAGTAGTCTGTGGTTTGCTCTTCGCCACACTCACATGTCGTGAGCTCCACTTTGAAGCCCCATTTCTGAAGATTGCTTCTGCATCTCATGGTACCAGAATGCAGTCTGTTCTGCACCTTCCAAGTCAACAAGTTTTCTGTGTGCCCAGAAGGGAATCTCTCATCCGGTATCAGCCATGAATTGAGGTTCCAGGTTTTAGCTTGCCACTTTTGGACTCTCGATTACTGAGGCCTTCCTGTGAGTATCTCTGTAGATCTTAGAAAGTGTTGGCATGCTGGCATCCAAACAGAGGATGGTTCGGAGATGTCACTGCCTTGGTCATTATTGGCTGCTACTTACTGACGCATGTCAGGTGGTGCAATACTGGCTAAACAGTATAATTTCTCCAGTGGTGTGGGGCATAGACATCCTGTCATAATGCAGCATGTCTCATTAAGAGCTACATTCACTGTTTTAACGTGTTGAGATGTGTTCCACACTCGGCATGCGTATTCAGCAGCAGAGTAGCAACTCTCTGAAACCCTCAGCTGTCAGGAAGGTTCTGGGATCTACACGTTTTCAAGTTCCAAACTTTTCTAAGCTCTGTCCAGGAAATGCCTTTTACTAGTAGTACAAAAGTCATCTATTCTAACATAGTCATGGTACATAAATGCAACTAATTTAATTGGGATCCATCTCTTACTACAACTGTTTCAAGCTTATCTTTTTGTTTTCTCACAACAGATAGCAACCCACATTTTGCAAATTGACTTGGAAGAGGAGCAGAAAAATTGAATAGCATGTCTCAAAATATAATATCATTGTATCACCTTTTTATTTATTTTCTCTTTAAGGCAGGTTTGACAACATATTTCCATCCTGGAATAAATCTGAAGAAAATCCATCATTACAGCATCAAGCTTTATGAAAAACTTGAAGAAGAAACTGGACAAGTAATAAACTATATGAATTAAATTAAAAATGTATAATAGTCCTATTGTGAAATATTGAATAATGAATTATTTGCAAGCTTGGCAATTGTAGACAATGATGCATAAGTATTTTAGAACCTGTCTCATCTTATTTATTTATTTAACATATAGAACTATCCAATCTTGATTGTTTGCCTTAAGTTCAGCAGGGATCTATTTATGTTTAAATTTTATTTTCCACTTTTCTCCCAGAGGGGACTCAAATCAGCTTATGATACAAACTGAAACAAATATATAAAACAATATAGAATATAAAAGTTTTAAAACATACAATCATACATTATATTAAAACATTATTTTAAACATTAAAAAATAAAACATGTTAAACACTTAAAGTGCACATTACATATTAAAAAACAGCACACCCCATTGCATTTTCCTCCCATCTGATGTGTCAAGGCTGAAGGTGGTCTTTGCTTTCTGCCAAAAAGACAGTGTGTGTCTGTGTGTCCAACCTTCCTCAGGAAGAAGCGCAAGAGCAGCCACAGAGAAGGCTCTGTTCTGTCTTCTGGGAGACTGGTGGGATAAAGAGAAAGCTCTATTCAAATATTGTTAGACTAGAGCAGGCTGATATGGAGACAGTTGGATCAGGGATATTCTGGAGTTTCCAGCAAACTTTAATATCCCTGGACTTTGCCCAAAGTGGGGCAAAGTCCTTTAAAACAAAACATACACACACATACACAAACAGACATACTCACCAGAAGCCACCACACATTGTTGGAAGAGCCAGCAGTCCATTTAGGGTGAATCTAGGGTTTCTTGCCAGTGTAGTGAAACCCTGTGTCTCATCCCAGAGATGTGACCCAGAAGGATGCCATGATTCATGATATCAAAAGCCACTGAGAGGTCCAGCAGAACCAAAAGGGAACGTAATCCACCTGTCCAAGTCTCTGTATAAATCTCTGTTGGGCCTGAAGTCAAAATGAAATGGATCTAGATAAGGATGGAGCCAATCTCTCACTGGGAGGTCCTGTTATCTAGATAGGCATGGAGCCAGTGTGACCTTCACCAGGAGGTGTCTCATATATACAGCAATGCAACCTTTCAGGGTAATGAGACATGCAATAGGACTTCTGTTAAGCACCACAGCTTCTAAGGAGTTCATTTTTCAGTTTCTCTTGAGAAGACACAGTTTTTCGGAAGTCATTTAGAAAATTGTGAAGCAACTCAAATACCTTGGATTGAGTTCAGAAAGAAAGTAGAAGCTAGCCAATCACTATAAGAATGTAAACCACACACCAGAAATCAGACTGGTTAACTCATTGTGTCCTACGTAGAGCTTCCAAACACTATCCAATGCAGCCCCGTGTCAAATAAATCACAGTACAACCAGACGGTAATTAAATGGTGTATGTAGGGTTGTTAAAATCCTTGAGAGAGAACAAGAGAGTAAATAGATCTTTCTGGAAGATCACAGAGGTCAGGGAAAGTTCATTGCCACTAGTCTCACATTTTGTAAAGTGAAATGAAAGACCAAATGTGCTTTGATGTCATCAGAGATACTCTACTAATGTCAATATGCAGTTCTTTAGTTCATTGTTAGTATTTTGACTACTCCTCCAAAAAGAAAAGGGAATACTGGTATCTGTAAAGATGTGGTGTCAAATTGTGTGGATGAAATTCTCCAATTATTTTATTTGTGAAGCCAATTACTGGCCTCATAAATAATGTGCTGGATTAAGGATCGTCCTGAAAGTTTTTTTCTCTAAATCAAATTAAAACCTTTCCTGTTTGTAAATTATTTGCACATCAAAGCTTGGTTTATGTTGTTTTGGTTACAAGATCACTGGTTATGTTATAAACTCCCCAAAATTAGGAGAACCAAAGGTACAAATCAAAATACTAAGTTATGTCTGAACATGAGGAAGAACATGAGGAAGAACTTCCTGACTGTGAGAGCCGTCCAGCAGTGGAACTCTCTGCCCCGGAGTGTGGTGGAGGCTCCTTCTTTGGAAGCTTTTAAACAGAGGCTGGATGGTCATCTGTCAGGGGTGATTTGAATGCAATATTCCTGCTTCTTGGCAGGGGGTTGGACTGGATGGCCCATGAGGTCTCTTCCAACTCTTTGATTCTATGATTCTATGTCTTTGCAAAAAAGGGCAAAAGCACAGCTGAAGATTGCAGGAATTTTGAACTGTTAAGTATCCTAAAATGTTAAATGTTTACATTTTTGTTCAATTTTCCTGAATGGAAAATTATTAATTCTTTAACCATGCTGTGTATTATATTATACCCAATGGATATACTATATGATGTCATGACTATTTAATGGTTTAATAGAGTTCACATACATTTTCTATATTTGAATTCTAATAAGTCTTTCCTCTCTCTCCCATTTAGGCTGTGGGCTTTCATCAACCTGGAAGTATTAGAATTGCTACAACTCCAACAAGAGTGGATGAGTTTAAATACCAAATGACTCGAGCTGGTTGGCATCAAGCAGAGCAATACTTAATTGAGCCAGAGAAAGTGCAAGAATTATTTCCTTTATTAAACATGGAAAAGGTAAATAAATTTGGTTGGTTTTTATATTTTAATATTTAGCTATTTTGTCCTTTTTGAGGGTCAGATTTGTAGAATTACAGACAATGTCCAATGAAACCTTAGTATTCAGATATTCCTTATTTCTCATCTGTTGAAAAAAGTAATTTTATTTTATTTGATCCACTTAGGTTTTAGCAGGTTTGTACAATCCTGGAGATGGCCATATTGATCCGTATTCACTCACCATGGCCTTGGCTGCAGGAGCCAGGAAGTATGGTGCCCAGTTAAATTACCCAGTCCAAGTAACTAATCTAAAACCCAGAGCAGATGGGACATGGGAAGTTGAAACTCCATATGGAATAATTCATGCAAAAAGAATTGTGAACACAGCTGGTAAGAAATCAACCACATTGTGATGCCTTTTACAAAATGTTCAATTATACAGGTTGCAATATCAATTATACAGGTTGCCACTAGATAGAGACAGATCATTAATGCTGTAATGAATAAACTACCAGAAACCAAACAATTTGTGAATTTACATTAGCAATTTGATGACTGCATGGAAAATGTTTCAGCATGAAGCTATGATTTTTTTTTGACATTTTTAATTTTGTAAATAGTTTGTATAACATTAGAATAGTCAGCTTTCAATGCTTAATTATAGGATAAGAAGCACATTATTAGCATTAATACTAGTTATTAGTTTGTATAATAGTGGCTCTTGTTTCCATGCAAATTAATGTAGGGCCACCAGGTTATGAGATGAATATTTTCAAGGATAGTCTGGCCTTTTTACTTTAGCAGAGGAAAAGAGTGACAGTACTGGGCAATTATAATATTATAATGTGTATGGATTTGTACAGACAGCTGCATGGCATGTATTTCATTTACACGTTGTGTTATACAAGGCACACACACCCCACCACACATTCACACATATACATCTTCACTTTTTTACTGTGAGATTAAATTTTAATTTAAAAAATGTTTAGGATAGACTCAACTCTTAAATGTTATTAAGTGGACATTTATAACAGTATTATCATTTATTTTTAAAGTATTTATAAACAGATTGAGGAGAATCTGGCCCTGAATGGATCCATGCATAGCATCCTAAAAGGTTACCGTGGGGCCTTCAGTTTTCCCAGTCCTCCTGCGGATCTTACCTCAGACAACCCTTTCTTGGTTGTATGCCTCCTTTTTTACTTTCAGGAGTCTTAGCAGCAGTACTTCTCATGTTTTACTGTTTCTTCTTCAACTGTAGGAATTTTACAAGCAATTCCTTAGAAAATGATCTCCTGTTTATTAATTCCTTAGAAAAACATTTTTGATGAACTGTGAAAGCTCCCTTGCATGTTTCTAGGAAGTACCCCCAGGGCTTGGTATTTTGTGAAAGTGGTTTGAAACTGGTAGCTACAGCTTAAATGATGACAAAAACACACTCAGATTTGGTGGACTGTCTGATCTTTGAAGCTACGCAGGGTTAACCCTGGTTACAGGGCCGTAGCCAGAAAAGATTTTTGGGAAGGGTTGAAAATTTGTGGGGGGGAGGAGTTGAAAATTTTTGGGGGGGGGTTAGGGTCACGCTGAAGCAAAGAGCACAGAAGGCGCAGAGCAGCCTTCCATAGCCTGCAACTCCGCCCCTGTCAACCACCTCCACCAAGTCTGGCCTCCTTAATGAGAGCATTCAACACCTCCCCCCCCCCCAACTTGGTTGCTTCGCTACATCAGCTATTGCTGCAAATAATGACAGTGTCAATAAATTGTTAATATTTGCTTGTGATAGTGCAGTTCTGGATGGACTCTTAATTTTTTGCGTCTCATAGACTTAGCATGAGGATTTGGTTAACCAGTTAAAATTCATGAGTAAACCAGGTTTTTTTTAACCTGAAAAATTTCAGAAGGGGGGAGTTGAACCCCTAAAAAACCCCTCTGGCTACAGGTCTGCCTGGTTAGTACTTAGATAAGAAACTGTCTATGAGTAGCAGGTGCTGTATGCTCGATTTCAGACAAAAGATCTGGCAATGAATATTTCTTGTCTTAAAAAACCCTGTGAAATTCATGGGGTTGTCATAAGTTGGCAGGGAACACCATGAAATTCTTTCCTAGTAATTTATAACTGCTCTTCCTTTTTTGCTTCTAACCCCCCCCCCCCCACACCCCATTGTGAATGTGAACATTTCAGCTTGAAATGAGAGATGATGTGTGTTGTTGTTGTTATTTTGCTTCGAACAAAAAATGACACTCCCATTAGGAAATTGAATTTAAACTTCTAAAGACAACCAAAAATGCTGAGATATTTAGCATAATCTCCTAATGACAAATTGTTGTTGTTGTTAGACCACTTTTCTCTCTACTCAGACTCTCTTACATAAACTCCATTAGTATCACAGAAAAACAAACAAAATCAAAATATTTTAAGAATAGGCTAAAAGACTTAAAAGTCAAAGGCCTAACAAATGACAAAAACCACTTTTGTATGTGAAAAACTCAGCCAGTTTGACTAGCCTTGAAAGGGGGGTGGGTCTCTAATAAAGATGCTACAGTGAAAAAGGCCCTGTCTTAGGTACCCACTGAGCTAGGAAGTCATCATTTTTGCATGAATAAAATAGTAATTCATAGTAAAACTGCACCATAACATTACACATTGAATATGATGGTTTTTCAGATACTTCCTATTTAGATTCCCACATTTATGGAGAAGTTCCACTTTACTTTCCCACTTAAACTGGTTTACGACAGTACATACATTTTATTGTCTTTTAATCTGATATTTTGTATTTTTCTTCCTGCATTCTGCTCTTAGGAATATTTAAAGTGACTTGGATAGAGAATTACCCCTATGAGCAGCAGGAAAGCTCTTCTGTCACATGGAGGGCTTCTCCTATTCAGATTGTACAGATGAAAAGTGAGGCCCCTTCCATACAGCTGAATAAAATTCCACATTATCTGCTTTGAAATGGAATACACAGCAGTGTGGGCTCAGAAACCCAATTCAAAGCAGATGATGATGATGATGATGATGATGATGATGATGATGATGATGATTTATTTATATTCCGCCCTATCTCCCCAGAGGGACTCAGGGCAGATTTCAAACATAAAAGGCAGACATTAAATGCCTGAACACAGCAACAATACATCCACAGTAACGAAATTTGGCAACTCAACATACAAAAACAAATTATGACTTAACAACTAAAATTAAATTTAAAACACAGCCTGTTATTATCAGACATAAGACAAAACATCAAACGTTAAACAGAAGCATCAATTTGCCAGTTCCTTGGGGGCAAATAGATTAATTGTTGCTCAAAATATCTATTGAGCTGGTGGGGCGAAAAGGGCACTGATACGGATGGTATCTATTAATCAGAGGTATAATGGTAGTATTAACAACGACACCTTCTCCAGTTTGCCTGAAAGCAGAAGGGAGGGCAAGAATCCATCTCCTCTCCTCCTCTCCCTCCTGCTTTTTAAAGGGAATGCAAACTGTTTTTGCACTTTGAACTCAGTTTGCAGTGACTAAAATTAGCTAAAGATAAAAAGAATGTGGGAGGGGTAAAGAGAAACTAGGACATTTTAAAAGGAGCTGAAAATATGGGATTGCAGAACATTAATTGGGACAATCTTTGTAAATCAAGAGGGTATGACACTGACAAGCAATGGTTAGTGCCATCCCTTCAAATAATGAACTGCAACCATAGTCTGTGATGAGTTTAAAAACTCTTTTGGAAATTAGCACAAATCATAATATGTTGCTTCAGAAATAAAGCTAGGAAATGTGGGTGGTATGCCACATGTGATGAAGGTGGCAGGTGGGTCAGGACAGGACAGGACATTCCTGAGCTCCAAATGAGCAACTTGATAAGGAGGAAAAGTAAGCTACTCTTTAATAAAGTCATAGTGCTTTCAATTAGCAATATTAACTTAGCACACTAGTTCTAGCAAGAAAACTCACAGTAAATTATTACTTGCTTGGGAGAGGAGGGTTTCAAAGGAAGGAAGAAGATTGGCTGTAAGAATGTTGGTAGCCTACACTGACATAGTTATATTTACCCACGCTGACCCTGATCATTAATCAATACTAACTCTAAATGTTCTTTCAGTTGAACATTGAAACTGAAAACTCTGACTTTGGTATAATAAGTTAACATAATTGTGAAGAGATGTCACAACTTCTCAAGTCAGTATTAAATGCTAGTAATTAAACTGCAGTCTAGAAAATGTACCAAAGAATTATAGTAGCGGGACTGGTGTCCCAACTGAGTTTATGTTATGCACCTGGAAGAGCAAAACCCATATCTAGAGATGTTAAATATGAGCTTGTGCCAGTTAACAAAAATTTGCTGAGCATTCCTCAGTGCTGAAGAGATTCAGCCGGTAAACTGCAAAGAGATGGTACAACTTTATGATAGGACAGATATGTTGCATACAAAAAGTCCAAGGTTCATACCCCAGCATCTACATACAAGAAAGGAAATACCTGAGTTGCTGTTTGTGATCATAAATATTTCAGAGCATTTTTTTTAGCAATAGAAGGAGGCCATCCTCTGATGTCCGCCATCTACTCCTGAAATGAATCACCATGTGAAAAAGAGGATCAACTATGTAACTTCCTAACTGTGAGAGCTGTTCAGCAGTGGAACTCTCTGCCCTGGAATGTGGTAGGGGCTTCTTCTTTGGAGGCTTTTAAACAGAGGCTGGATGGCCATCTGTCAGAGGTGTTTTGAATGTGATTTTCCTGCTTCTTGGCAGGGGACTGAATGACCCATGAGGTCCCTTCCAACTCTATAATTCTATTATAAGGATATCTTCTGTTGGAAATGAATGTATTGTGGTAATGGTGATTTTCACTGCCTTCCCTTTCTACTGTCTCTTCATTGCTCCCTCCCATGCTGTTCTAGTTTCAATAGTATTTTAGAAAAGTACACAGTATTATTTTCTTTTAAAATGTTGTGTCTTTCGTTTCCAAACATTTTATTACCATTCAATTCATTGCATGGCTGTACACTGTGTTTTCCAGGTTTCTGGGCTCGTGAAATAGGCAGAAAAATTGGATTGCATCATCCACTCATACCAGTTCACCATCAGTATGTTGTCACTGCAACTATCCCTGAAGTGAAAGTCTTGAAAAGGGAACTGCCTGTGCTTCGAGACTTAGAAGGTTCATATTACCTAAGACAAGAAAGGGATGGTCTTTTGTTTGGTCCATATGAAAACCAAGAAAAAATGAAGCTACAGGAATCTTGGGTAACACATGGAGTGCCACCAGGTAATATTTACTTGAAAAAATAATCTCAGGCTGTAATTGTATATGCTAATGTAATATGCTAGCTTCTCTTTTATGTGGACCACTGTCACTGATAACTGCTGCGGGTTCTCGTGAGCAAGGTATTTTAATCATTTCTCACAATTTCTTTTGGCATACTTCTATGGACACATTTCCCTGGAGATACTTTGCTTTTGTTCCTTCAACAAACCACACTGAACCTAGGAGTGAAAAGTATCAAGAAGCTGAAACCATGGGATGAAGACCATTGGAAATTGCTATCTCTATTCATTTTTATTTCTTCTCTACTGTCAGATATGTTTCTGATATGGCGCTGAGTTGTCCATACTGTTTGCTCAAGGCATTCTGTAAGGCTATATTGCCCTGTCTTGTTGCTGTTATTATAAGTAAACATTTTATGATCTTGATGGCACCTGGCATTTAATATTCAGTATTTTTCAAGAAACAAAGTAAACAGTTTCTCCATGGAAACCTTTTTCCTACATATTCTCTATCTCTCTTCCCCTCTTTCCCTCTGCCTCTCTTTAATTGATCCATCTGTTTCACTTTCCTCTGTTGATCACTTAGTCCAGTGATTCACAGATTACTGGTGATGAACCAATGTCCTCTTGTTTGTCCTACTGCTTGGTATCTATGAGTAATAACCATATACCATATGTGGATTGCATACACATTTCAGTACAGACAAAAATCCCTTTGAGTATTTTAATTGTCTTTCCTGTATAACCCAACTATATTCATGTATGCAGTGGACAGATGTATGTTTTCTGCTTATATGAGAAAATACCTCGTAATTTAGATTTTGCTACTGTTTTCAAATATGAGAACATTTTTCTAGGTTTTGGCAAGGAGCTTTTTGAATCTGATTTGGATCGAATAATGGATCATGTTGAAGCAGCAATGGAAATGGTTCCTGTCCTGAAACAAGCAAACATAATCAATGTAGTTGCTGGTCCTATAACATACTCTCCTGATATTTTACCTATGGTGGGACCTCATCAGGCTGTTCAAAATTACTGGGTGGCTATTGGTTTTGGGTAAGTTAATTGTTCTCTTGGGAAAAGTTTTTGGATATCAATAATTATAAATTCATTAAAATTAAATCGTTAGTCATGTGTTTCTCTTTTGACTATAGGAGAAACTGGAGATATTCCTATAGTCCTATACTTGGGGTTTTTATTTCCAGAAAGGTAAAGTTTAGAGACCCAAATTCATTGTTGTGTTAATTTAAGAGTAATACGTGAACAGTTTTAAATAGTAAATACCTGTGATATGAAACTTATTTCTAAGACTAACCTCCGCATAAAAGGCTGAAAAATCACCAATGTAACTCTAGTTTTTAAAAATGGATCCAGAGTAAGGTGGATGTGGATTAATGTCCGTTTTAGGTAAATTATTTGAAACCTTTAGTAAAGAAAAATCATCAAGCATATATAACGGAGGTTGGAAAAGTGCAATGTGGGCCCAACTTGCTTCCCCCTTTTTTTTGCAGCCTGACAAATTCCAAACAGCATACAGTAAAAGCAAACTGCTTGTAAAATTTGGCAGCAAACTTATGCAGTTTTCTGTTTTGCCACTGAAATTCTACAGGAAACTCGATCTTTATAGGGGTTACTAAAATAGGGAGGGAAAGACATTTAAGTAAAATAAATGCATGCTATGAGGGGCTAGATCTACTTCTTCCTGAAGAAGCTGAACATGCCATGCATATCTATCAGCAGCTGGCTGCAATATAGAACTAGCCAGTTTCTATGTGCTTGCAGAGCCAGGCAGTGTGAAGAGAACAAGATTAACTATAGTAAATGACTGAAGAAACTGGCAAAATCACCTCTAAGTATTTATTTCCTAGGAAATACATAAGTTGACAGGTGGCTTGAAGTTTAGTTTTTAGGTGAAGAAGAATCATTATGATTTTAGCAAAAATGGTCTTGTCAATAGATATGTTGATAATATAACGTGGGAAAACTCTGAGGGGAAAAACCCCAACTTTTGACAGAATCCCCAACCACAAAAACTATATGTTGAAAGAAGCCACCTTGAGTTGCCTTCTGGCTGAAAAAGGTGGGATATAAATACATTTTTTGCATGATGACTGGGAGATGTGAACTACTTTGTGCATTGTATTTGAAAGAATTTTAAGAGTTTTCTTGTAGTATGGATGGATATAGTAGGTGACGTTCATTGTTAAAAGCTTTAGGTATATGGGAGATACTGAACTATGCAATGGAAAGATAAAGTGGAGTGAGGCGAATAAACATGTATCCTTGACGAGAAACCATAGTGTCATATATTTACAGGTTTGCACAGTTCCTGATCCCTTTTCCCTCTCCAACACAACACTGTTTCAAACCAGGATTAGAAATTGGAATGATACCATAGAGTCAATATGACCATCCCCAAAATGTTAAACGTCAACTAGGGAGCAAGCAATTATCTATATAAAAACTAACAGATTCCTGTGATCAGTTAAAATGGGTACTAATAAAGCCACTGGTTTTTTAATTGTTTTTTAAGGCCTTTAAAATGGATTGAAATTGCTGAATCTGTTTTTAGGTAATGTTTTATATTTCATGTTGGACATTACTTTGCTGCCCCTGGTGGGCAGCAAAATAAATAACAATATTTTAAACAAAAAATAAATAAATAGAATAATGCACTAAAAGAAAGCGCATGAGTTTAGGGACACAAAAGTAAATCTGACAGACAGTTTGAGGGAATGTAAAAGACCACACCTGTATTGCTTTTGGATCTAGGCTTTGCATGATGAAAGAGTGAATATAGGCAACAAGCAACTTGCCAGTGATCCTTGGAACTCTGTTTGCTAGGGAAAACAGCTAGATGATAGAAAATGTGATCCCACTTTGGTATAAGCTATTATATGTTTTCTTTGTCACCAAGGAATGAAGACGTTCCAACCACATTCAAGTTGAGCATGTCTCTGGTCACTTTAAGATTCCTAAACAAAACTATTTGAATGGTGATGATGGGCACATTGAGGCCCTGTCTCATTGGATCCAGGTTTATGTCAAAGCTACTATAAAGCTAACACAAGAGGCAGGTAGGCAGCAGGAGCCTGAATACAGCAGTGTAGAGCAAGGTTTGAGTTCCTGCTCACCCATGGAAGCCAACTGGTTTACTTTGGCAAGTCACACTTTCTCAGGCTCAGAGGACCCTTTGAACCACCCAGGCCAAGAAAATCCCATGATAGGTTTGCCTTATGGTCATCACAAGCCAGAAGTGACTTGAAGGCACACAGCAGCAACAACAACATAGAGTTAATGACTTTAGAAATCCTGTCCACAGCAATTACATAAGCTTACTAATTTTCCCATTTATAGATGTGATCTGATAAGGAAGACTGTCCCTAGAGATTATGCTGTTTAGAATGTTCTGTACAGATGCATTTCCTATGTAAAAGGCATTTCTTTGGAGGAAACTGTAGGTATCCAGCATATTATGTGCATGCAGATGTGTCTGTTTATAACAGGTAGTGGAGTTGGCTGCAGCTTTTTGTTGTACAGATACCTGGAACATTGGCTGATTTTATTAATATGACACATTGTAACTATGACCTATGTTGCTTCCTGTGTGGAAATTTGATGAATTTGTGAAACTCTTAATGCTGTGTGAAATAGACCTGAACCAGTGCCTTGGTTGGGAATTGTGCCCAGACTTTTAAAACTGAATTGTAGTGTTCTCAGCTGACCCTTGCGGATGTGGAGAGCCATGCAGTAATTAAAAACCAGCCTGCCTGAGTACTACATATTTGGCTAATCTAACATTCCAGTCATTAACAGAATTGGAAGATCTGATTGTGTTGCTGAAATGTTATCTGAAATAAATCCATGTGGAAAATTTTTATTTCCCCCCTCCCTTCCCATTAGATATGGCATCATCCATGCAGGTGGCATAGGAAAATATCTTAGTGATTGGATACTCAGTGGTGAGCCTCCTTTTGATCTGATAGAATTAGATCCAAATAGATATGGAAAATGGACAACTGTGGAATATACATCAACAAAAGCAAGAGAATCCTATGGATTTAACAATGCTGGTAAGGCAGTTGCACATAATTGCTTGATTCTTAAAAAAAATAAAATGGACATTCAGTCAGGGGTTCTTGTCCTAGTTCTTCTTTTCTTTTTTTCTTTTTCCAGAAGTAATAACAGGATTTGGTTATTTCTTGCTCTATTTTTGAAGCAGCTTACATTGTTCATAGGGCATATAAAAGTGCCATTTTTCTTATATACATGTACTGTTGAGGTGTTGTGAACATCTCAAAATATACTGTGCAGTTTATGTTATCTGAAGGCATTGTGTGTACATTGCAATAAATCATACCTTTCCATGTGCTTGTTTTTTTTAACCTTTTATAGTTGGCTACCCTAAAGAAGAGCGCTTTGCTGGTAGACCTACAGAAAGAGTCAGTGGGCTTTATGAAGCCCTTAAGTCCAAATGTTCAATGGGATTCCATGCAGGATGGGAACAACCTCATTGGTTCTACAAACCAGGGGATGAGACTGGATACAAGTAAATGAATATTACATTTTTTTTTGTTGCACTGAGGATGTGCACTCTCTGAAATAACAAGTTCCTAATTTAATAAGTATTCAAATCTGCCTTTGTTGGTGAAGGCATATGTGTCTATGGTGGCTTAGAGTATGTAACAACCTTTTGCCTGTAGTCTCAAAACTGAGTTATGGTAATATGCTATATGTGGGGCCTAAGAATGGTCCTGCAGCTTTGGTTTCAGCTTTTTAAGGCAGAACTACATAGGGTAACTGTAATTAGATACTCCCCATTTTCAATATGAAACACTTTTGCTGGTCACTAATTTGATGCTATTGACCTTTTAAATATATGCATAATATCAGGATACTTGACAGTGCATCTTCTTTCTTGACTCTGCATTTAAGACAATTTGTCTAGTTACTGAGGAAAGAAACACTCATGTTGGTTCTTTGGACCCGCAGTTGTTTAAAGACAACTGGGAATGAAGCTTTCATTGGATGGATGTCCTCCGTGTGGAGATTCCTGCTAACTGATGTTATGTTTATGGCATCATTGCTTTATTGTTGATCTCTGCTAAAGGCATGTTGATTGCAATACATTTTCCACAACTGAAAGGCCTACTAAGGCTATATTAGCATAATTGGGGGGGGGGGCACAATGACATATTTTATATTATTTTATGTAAATATCATCCATGCATGTGTAAAAACCATGGTCCCTAATCATACACACAACTTCAATTCATGTAGTTTTATAGATATTAGGCACATTATGTATGAGATGCTTCATTCCAATTGAAAATACTAGGCACAGTGCGTTAGTTTTAAATGCATATAATCATTCTTTTTTTAGGCCTAGTTTTCGACGCACAAACTGGTTTGAACCAGTGGGTCGTGAATATAAACAGGTGATGGAAAAAGTGGGTGTGATTGATCTTACTCCATTTGGCAAGTTTAGCATCAAAGGCAGTGATTCTGTTAAACTTTTGGATCATCTATGTGCAAATGTGATCCCCAAGGTAAATTGAGATGTAATAGCTATATAAATCTAGGATCATATTTCCTAAAGCCTGAAACAGATTTAACATGCATAGCCTTGCTAATGTGAACTCTAAAAAGTACTGAATCCAAGGACCAATATAGTTGAAATCACAATCATGCACTGAGCAGTTGTGTGAATAGCTATATAAAAATAAAATGTAGATGTTGGGAAATCTGGACTGGTTTTCCTGTACCTGCAATTTACTGTTTAGAAAGTTAATCATGTGATTGGTGTCCTGTCTAACATGACTAAATTCCAGTAAGGAATCATATTTATCTTACTGCCAGAGAAATCTGGCCCAGACAGTGGACATCATGTTGGATCAAAGCCTATACATCTAGTGTATGTTTGTTTTATGGGATTTGTATACTTTAGAAGAGAATGTAATAAATACTACATGGGTCCATTTTACATAAATCATATGTTACGCATGCAGACCTCATACAAACACTTCAGCTCATTATGGATAATCAAATTCTTTTATCCTATTAAATGTAGATGCTAATCACTTCAAAATTTTATAGACCTGGGCAAGTATAATATTTTTGTCTCTAATTTATTTCCTTAGGCATAAAACATAACATTAATTGCCAGTGGCTGCCTGATGGAAATTTATTTAATCTGTGTGATAAACAGTTATGGTAGAAAAATAAAACCAAAAAAATCTAATTGAAATTGTTTGGATATAAGTATGCTCACTTAACTCTTCTGATATCCAGCTTTTATTCTTATACATTTGCATGCTGCTGTGTGTTAATGTATCACTATTTTTCCTATATAGGTTGGTTTCACAAATATAAGTCATATGTTAACTCCAAGAGGCAGAGTCTATGCTGAGCTCACAGTCTCCCATCTCAGGCCAGGGGAATTTATGTTAGTTACTGGTTCTGGATCAGAGCTTCATGACTTGAGGTCAGTAAACATTTCAATGACTGAAATATTAAAACCTTTGAGGAGACATGAATAGTGGAGTACTTGGTATTCAGGAAAACCGGAAGCTTTGTGCTCTGGGTGCAATAAAGGACTTATTTGAAAAAATAGGGAGCAACAACAGCAACAAAAACAATTGGCGCTACTTATCAATGGTGATGAGCCTGCATGCTCATATGAGGCAAAGGGTTGTGCAGATGGCGGCATTGCCATTTGTAAGGTCTCCCAGGTTCAACAGGGTAGTTTTTTTAGTGGGAGACCAGATTAAATGTGCCAAAATTACAGTAAATATGGTGCAAAAGACAAAGCCAAATATTATACTGGATCAGTTGTTACTAGGGTAAAATTAGGGACTACATCAAATGTTTGTGTTCTAGACATCGGACAAAAGTTGGTCTACATAAGTCAGTCTCTTTTACTAGGTAACCAGATGAGGGGCTGCTGGAAGGTTGACTACAGAAAAAAGAACCGCAGCCAAAAATAGATTAATAACGAGACACTATTATAAAGCAAATCCATCAGTCCAATTCTACCAAAGGAGAATGCATGCCATTATATTCTAATTAACATATCAGGTGCTTATTCTCAAAAAAAAAAAAAGCTCTCTTTGTTCAAATATAGAACTTGAAGAATTGCAAAGAAAGATCAATATTGCAAAGAAGATTGAGTTATAACTGAGACTGAATCAGTAAAAATTGCTAACTCAGTAAAGTATGAAAAATAAAAAATGAGTTAGTACTGGAAATTTAGAAAATGAAAGGATTTTGATGGAAAACGTAGAAAGAAATATGGATATTTTTTTTAGAAAACTAAGCAACAAACTGCATTACAGAGAAAATTATTAATGAAATGAATAACAGTAAAAAATGTAAATAGCACCAAAGAAAGAACTGAAGAAAATTATCAGATATATCAACTAGGCAATTCTTTATTTATATCCTCCTTTTCACCCATTAAGGAACCCAAATGGTATACAATATAAGTTAAAACAAAATAGTGAAAATAATAGGTGCTACATTTTAAAAGCTTTAAACAATTACAGTAAAACAGTTAATAAACATATAGCACAGACACACGAGCACATATTTAAAAGCATGCCTACTGCATATCCTTCTACCCTAATTACTTAAAGGCTGAAGGTCTGTTTGAATAAGAAGGTCGTTGCCTGTTGGCAAAAGCAAAGCAGAGAGGGGAGCCAATCAATCCTCAGTTGGGAATTGATTCTACAACTTTGGAGTAGTTACTGAGGCAGCTCTCTGGTTTCCTGTCAGCCAGTACGGGAGTTGGAATGGAAACAAAAGCCTTAGACAAGCCTATATGTCAAGATAAGGGTTTTTAGATAGTGTGGACCGAAACTATGTGTGTCTTTAAATGTTATAACCTGCAATTGATTTAACTGGAATCAAACCATTAACTAGAGAAAGTTTTTCAAGAAGGATTCATATGCCCTCTAAAGTCAGGAGTCAGCAGTCTAGTGACAGCAGTTTAGAAGCACTGCATTTTCTGAATAGTTTCCAAACACAGTTTCATGTAGAGTGCATTACAGTAGTAATAAGAAGATGCATTTTGTATCTCCAGGAATGAGTGTATGTTCTGATTGTTCTAGCTGTGCAGATACACTCCTTTTGGGCATTGTGAAAAACTGGAATTCTAGGCTCAGACCTGGGGCAAGAGCACATCTAAGCTACAAACCTGAAATTTTAGGGGGAATGTAATCCTGCCGAGCACAGGTTGAATTTCTGTTCCCTGATTTGCATTTTAACTGACCAAGAGCAATAATACTGCTTTCTAATAATACTGGAGGGGAAAAATCATTGGTATGCAATAGCAAAAGCAAACCATTTATTCTATACTAGCCGTCCCTTGCCATGTGTTGCTATGGTCCAGTCTGATGATCTGGAAAATAAAGTAATGAGAAAGTGTTGGTTTCTAATATATGTAATTTCTTTATGCTTGTGGGAAAACAGTATTTCTTGTTGTTTCTTTTTCAGTGTTGATGTAGAAATTGTCTGGTTTGGCTACTCGGGAACATGCAATATATAATTGTCCTTCTTTAGGGGTTCCTTTCAAATCTATGATACTATATCTGTCATATACATATATACGTGTTTTTGTGAATCATATCTATCTATCTATCTATCTATCTATCTATCTATCTATCTATCTATGGTCAGAAGGGTCACCATTTTCTGTTGATCATGGGAGTTCTGTGTGGAAGTTTGTCCAAATTCTATTGTTGGCTATGTTCAGAATACTCTTTGATTGTAGGTGAACTATAAATCCCAGTAACTACAACTCCCATATGTCAAGGTCTATTTCCTCCAAACTCAATCTGTGTTCATATTTGGTCATATGGAGTATTTGTGCCAAGTTTGGTTCATTGTTTGAGTCCACAGTGCTCTCTGGGTGTAGGCGAAGTACAACTCCCAAACACAAGGTCAATGCCCACCAAACCCTCTAGTGTTTTCTGTTGGTCATGGGAGTTCTGTGGGCCAAGTTTGGTTCAATTCCATCGTTGGTGGAATTTAGAATGCTCTTTGATTGTAGGTGAACTATAAATTAGAGCAACTACAAATGACAAAATAATTTTTTTGAGTGATGGTCAGTCCTTGGGTTAGTAGGGGACTTGTGGTCAAATTTGGTGGCAATTCATCCAGCAGATTTTGAGTTATGATGTCACTCAAAACGAACAGAGCACACACACACACACCCATATATATATGGAAAATTTACAACTAAATTGAATATCACTATCAGAACCTGCACCCTGTTGCATACTGTAAGAATATTTACAGTTTCTTACAAGCTATTTCAGTTAAATTTGGAATTAGTAAATGTGTTACACTATCAAAAAGATAGGAACACCCCATGCCACATTATTCAGATATACATTATGAATTCCTAGATTCTTGGTTAGAATACAAATCACTGATATTGTGAAGAAAAGAGCTGGGCAAGCCTGGTTAGAGCCAGCCAATCAGAGCTGAAGGAATGCTTCAATGGGGGGGGGGGGGGGGGGGGGGGGAGAGAGAGAGAGACATGGGAACAGAAGGGTTGTCTTTGACAGAAGGCAGAGAAGGGAAAGCTACTAATGATTAAATAGTTCAAAGGTTTATGTGTGATCTAAATGTGTCTTAATAAATTTCTACAACTGTATCTGGTGTTCTTGTTGAATTCTGAGAAAGAGTGTGGTCATGCTTACCACAGTGAACTGACTGAAAAAGAAATCCATTACCCCATACAGAGGTCACCTTGAGAACCACATACTGGGAGGGATCCTGAAGGGGCAAGGCAAGGAACAGGAGCTTAAGGGTTTGGAATTGCAAGGCAAGCCTGGAGAAGGGATCTGTCATGCCTGGTCACATCCGGTACATGGTAGACAGTGAAACAAGAGAACCCATATCTCTATAACAACAGAAATAATTATTATCAGTCTCAACAATGAATTAAATACATTAAAATATTTTCATTATTTAGTTGGGTATCTTAAATCATGTTTTTCTCAATTAAACTGGAGATGGTGGAGTTAGATGAACTTGCTAGAAGCCCAATAGTTTTTCTTGAAGGCTGTTGTTACTTTCATTCTATCTGGTTGTCTTTCATGTATTAACATACATATGTAGGTTTTTTGGCAGATAAAAGTGTTTTCCTCTATATTTAGATGGATTGAAGAAGAGGCAATTAGAGGGCAATATAATGTTGACATCAAAAACATTACAGATGAAATTGGAGTATTAGGTATAGCGGGTCCATATGCCCGTGAAGTTCTCCAGAAATTAACAACAGAAGATCTCAGTGATGCTGCATTTAATTTTCTACTATCCAGACATTTAAAAATTGCTGATATTCCAGTTACTGCAATTAGAATATCCTATACAGGTATGTTAAAGAGAGAAATTATTACTCTTGCAAGTAAAAGAACTGCTCTTTGATAGCTGTTGTTGCTGCTGTGTGTCTCCAAGTAATTTCTGATTCATTGCTGCCTTAAAGCAAACAGATCACAGGGTTTTCTTGGAAAAAAAATTGTTCAGAGGGGGCTTATCTTTCCCTTTCTCTGAAGGTGAGATTGGTCAATCGATCTCCATGGCCAAGTAGACATTTGAACCTTGGTCTCCAGAGTTGTAGTTCAATGATCAAACCACCCCAGCAGCTGTAGCCATGAAAACCAGCTATGTAATCCATAATATAGTGATTGTTAATATTTGTTTTACACTTCTGAATTATTCTAGACTTGATTTTTTCTAGAATAAAGATACTAATTTTGTTTTGTAATAGGTGAATTGGGCTGGGAATTGTATCATGAACGAAAAGATTCTGCAGCTTTATATTCTGCTATCATGGAAGCTGGTCATGAACGAGGAATCGACAACTTTGGAACATATGCAATGAATACATTAAGGCTAGAAAAAGGTTTCCGTGCCTGGGGAGCAGAGGTTTGAAAATAGTTTTTTAAAACAAAGCTTTGTTTTATTATATTGTATTATTAATCACAATGAAGCCTATCAAATTATTGCCTGTTTTTCAATTTCAATTAGCTTTTTAAGGTACTACAAGGATTTATTCAGTTTATATTCAATCTTTCTCCTAATGTAAGATGCAGGGTGGTATAGCAAATACAGCTAAACATTAAAAAACAGTTAATAGGTGATCAAATTAAAATGCTTAGACAGACTCATATAGGAAGATAGTTTTTCAGATAGCCTAGACCAGTGGTTCTCAACCTGTGAGTCGCCAAGAGTTTTGGCCTACAACTCCCAAAAATCCCAGCCAGTTTACCAGCTGTTAGGATTTCTGGGAGTTGAAGACCAAAACATCTGGGGACCCACAGGTTGAGAACCACTGGCCTAGACCCAAGTCACTGGGCTTCTAGTCACTGCGAATTGCTGGGCTTCCTTGGATCTCCCTGTGAAGAGATAAGTAGTGTGAGTGACAATGGAGGAAACAAAGTTTATTTTCAATCTGTAAGGAGATTTTGAAGTCTGAACACTCATTGCCACCCATTCTCAGTGTGAGCCAGATGTTACGAGCCCAGTTATTTGCACCAAAAAGCAAGGAGCAAGGAGAGAAGACTGAAATGAATCATTGCATATATCTATTAGGAACCATCATGCCAGTCAAAGTAGTGAGCCATTCACACGAGCTCTCTTGCTGCAGAAGCACTGGCAGTGACAATATAGGGTTCGGGAGAATCATAGAATCATAGAATCAAAGAGTTGGAAGAGACCTCATGGGCCATCCAGTCCAACCCCCTGCCAAGAAGCAGGAATATTGCATTCAAAAACATTGCAAGGTCTGGTGATAATCCTTTTATAAACTGCCGCAGCAACAATGGCTTATGGTCTGGGGAAATTCCAGATAAGATTATGAGGAATGACAGATGGTTGAAATGGTAGCAATTGTTGTAGCTGCTGGGACATTCTGTCATCTCTCCGTCTTGTCCCCAGAAAATATCCCTCCAGCCCTGTGTTTGCCATATAAACCTGGCAGCTAAGTTTTAAACCAATGGCATCACTTGGGCCCTTCCTTGATATAAGGATTTGTCCCCATGGTCTTGATCGTGAGCTCTGATCTCTCAAAAAATGGGGTAGTGTAGACTTGGTAATTAAGTTGTTTCATAGAAAACAGTATGTTCCATTACATTTATGTACCTAACTTTTCTTTTTAATACATTGTGGCTCTGTTTCATATGCATTACAGAATTGGGTTAACATCTTCTAGCAATACAGTTGGGTGGAAATTTTCCTTAGAGCAAGTTCTAATAATTAAACCCTGTGCCATTCAATATAAAGACCTTTCCGCTATTGAAGTGCTGAGAAAATCTGCCTAAACTGCATTTTACCAATCTACTTGAAGAGTTAAGAATGTATCTTCGGGGGGGGGGGGGGGAAACATAGGTAGTGAAATAAATGAGACCTACATTTGGACAGTTGTGTCCAGGATTGTAGCCTTTATTTTTGAAGCATTTCTAATTCATTTCCATGCCATTTGATCCACTTAATAAGGATTTTTTTTCCATGTGTCTCAAGGTGTTTCTATTCTATCAGTCAAAATATGCAGGGAATGCATTTTCAGCTATGTGTGACATTCCAAATCCCTTTAAAGATATTAGCATCATATCTCACTGTCACAGAAAAGATGGAAACAGGTGTTCTGCTTTTCTTTGTTGTTCTAATTTCCTAAATAAAATGTTGGCTAAATGCACACTTCATTGCATGCTCAAAGGTCCTCCAAAATTAAATTTCTAATTGTGGATAGAAGATAACAACAGAAGAAGTTTGCAGGTTCAATGTGAAACAAATGCCCCAGGGATTATTTTTTTAATTATTATTATTATTATTATTATTATTATTATTATTATTATTATTATTATTTACCATATTTATACCCCACCTTTCTCAACCCCGTAGGGGATTCAAGGTGGTTTACATATATATAGGCAGCAATTTGATGCCAAAAACACACATAATAACACATTAAAACAATCATTAAAAACATATACAACTTTAAAACTACTTATTTAAAATCATGCAATCCAATATGATAGTTTGCGGTCATTCCAATTTGTCATTGCAGGGATTAAAACCAGGTTTCCTGTCACAGGTTCCTAACTTCTTATGTAGATAATACTGAGCTGGATGACTTGAAGATGAGGGATCTACCCATATTTCTAGTAAAACAGAATGCTAATATTTTCCAACAACTGCATTTTTAAAATGCAGTAACCGTAGTTCAGCAGCTTGTGAAGGTTGTGCAGATCTTTTTGTCTGTACATTCAAGAAACTTCTTTGGTCATCCAGTCTATTCCAGCCAGAAAGTAAAATACAATCCCTAACAATCCTAGTGTTTGAAAATGGAAAGGACACACAATCCATCCAGCTGCTGATAATTTTTTTTTACAGTGAGGTGAGGATAAGAGAAATAGATTTGTAAGAAAACAATGTCTTACTAAAACTTTCAAAATCATTTTCTCTTCCAATCATGTATGACTTAGTTTTGTTTTGCAAGACAGTCAAATCTTATTTTTATGTTAACTATAATACTAAAGAAATTATGTGTTGGCATTTGGGGCTAGTGTCACTAAAGCCCTTTCTAAACTGTCATATAAAATCCAGATTATCTGCTTTGAACTGGATTATATAGCAGTGTAGATTCATATAATCCAGTTCAAAGCTGATAATGTGGATTATCTGCTTTGATCATCTGGATTATATGGCAGTGTAGAAAGGGCCTAAGGCACTTAACAAAACAGGTTTAAAGAAGCTACTGGAGAAGTGAAAGAAATATGCCACCTACTGGTTATCCTAGTTGTTTAAATATAACATTGATCCCTTTCTTCTTTTTTTAACAGATGAATTGTGACACCAATCCTTTGGAAGCTGGACTGAAATATTTTATAAAATTAAATAAGGTAGGTCCAAAATGTTTTCAGAGCTCTAACATTACTTTTAAACATTTTCTTCTCTGTGCAAGTAAATGTATATCACCTCTGCATAGTAGGACCAGATAGCCAGCCATATATTTCCATAACACTGTTCCTTGTTGTATATGAAAGGAATTCTTTGTATGAAAGGTTTTTTTTAATACTGTAGATAGCTTGCTCTTCAACATGTTCCATTAATTCATTCCATCTTAGGTATCTTTCAAAGAATTTGAGATTCCAAATTGATTCCTTTCCATGCCGTCTCATGAATTTGAAATGCAGTTTATTTTCTTAAGGGGTTGACTTGATTAATTGTTCACTTCCCTCATTTTCTTCTGTTGAATTTTTATTTATATGATAGACCAGCCAGTTGCAAATTTAATAGTACATTCACTATTTGTGAAATGTTAAAATATTAATCACATTTTAGTTGATTTACATATAAAAGAAATGTGATTCTTTCTATTTAATTCAGTAGTATTAGTGAAGTTTCCAACAGTCCCTACAATGCCCCATCCTGAGGTAGATCCAGATTTAATCATGTTTACAATACATTGGAGTTTGGAGATTTTGGCTCTCATAATTTATTTATTTATTTAAGAAATGTATACCCCGCCTTTCCCCACTTAAGTGTCCAAGGCAGTTTACAACATATAAAAACAATCCCTAATCAGGATGGCCAGTTTCAATCTTGGGTGAAGCATTCTGGAAATTGTATTCCAGGTTTTTTTCAAGCTCTCAGTAGGGTCACCATAATAATTGGGACCTAAATGAGTGATAAATAGGATCTAAATAAACAGGACCTGAATATGTCATGACTATTTTTAGTGGGTCTACAGTTATGACTTAGGATGGATCTGCATTGACCACTTAATGGCAAATGCCGGATTTGCCCTGGTATGGTTTAGACAACCACCACCCCTCCAGGTACTATGGAGGCCTTCCTGTCCAGCAGCACTAAACCCAGTTTGACACTGCTGGGTGGCCCCCCTTCTGTCCCCCTCCTCTTCTCTTCATCGTGGCAGCCAGTAGGCACAACAAGGCTAATGCCAGTCACTTGTTGCTTGTTGAGTGACAATGGCTGGTGCGACAGAGCAACATGGGAGAGAGAAGGGTGAGAGAAGGAATCACCCTCCCCCCCCCGCCACCTTTTCCTATTGCCTTGTTGCACTGGCTACTACTACAAAGAGAACAGGTGGTGAACAGTGAGTGCTACCCCATGTTCCCCTAAGCGCGGGGAATACAGGATGGCTATGTGAACAGTTGCAACCAATTCCATCTTGGAACTAGCGCAACTGTTTACATGAATCCAAAGTTGCAGTTTGCTTCAGATTCTTAGGAAGAATTCAGAGCAACTGCAACTTTGGTTGATGAGGTTCAAGTGTGCATTAAGGTGGCCTTCGCCTGCATGAACCCAGATCAGCTCCATGCATTGTTTAGCTGCCATGAAGCTGATTCACCCGCCCTTCATGATAAGTGGTCAATGTACATGTACCCTTCGTCTAGAATCTGGACACTATTTTTTCACAGCAGCTAGTCAAATACCTGTAGTAATCTCACTAGTGGGAAAGATATAAAGGTGCATTATGTAGTCAAAGTGAAAGTACAATGCATTTATCCTGTTGTTCATGTTAAGGTTTTGTTGTGTACTATCAGTTTGAATAAAATGTATTTCTAGATAATGCATTCTGATGGGTGTTACCATCATTTTTTTAAAAATACTATGCAGCACTTTCTCTTTCTTCCAAGCTCAAGATAGTGGCTAGCAACAGGAAATGAGTACAGTCAGCCCTCTACTGGAGTTACCAGTACAAGACCATTGCAAAAGTGGAAAATACGTGAATACAAAACACTTTTTTTTTTTTTGCCAAGAGAACACCTCTCCAGGAATGTCTAAATTCTCCAGTACAAATCTATGGTCAACATTCACTGGAAGTGAAGGCTTTTAACTTAAATGACAAATTAATATACTTTTCTAATATTAAGGAGATAGAATTAGGTGTTTGAACTTATTAGTGATTAATGGAACACACTAACCTTTTTCTAGCTGGCCAATGAACTTTTAACTTTAGCTTTAAATCTTGATCCAATGATTCTGAAAATAAAATCAAGGATGTAGATACAGATTTAAAAAGACAATAATCACCGAACAAAACCATCACATTCTCAATACAAAATGCAAACAAGAATCACAGTCAAAGGTTAAACAGAAAACTACACAAAAAGGAAGAATGTAAATTCTTTTTTTAAGAGTTCTTTACCTTAGAAGTTACATTGTAACGTCATTGTAAGTTACATTATCATGTCCTAGGACCTTATAATACTGCTCTGACAAATAACTCAAAATTTTGCTGTAGAGAATAAAAAAATATTTTTGATAAAAGAACAGTAGCCATAAGACAAACAAGTTCAACACTTGATACAGAGAGAGGACATCCTCCTGTTGTGCCAGCTCCACTGACTGCCAGTCTGCTACCGAGCACAATTCAAAGTGTTGGCTTTAGCCTATAAAGCCCTAAACGGTTCTGGCTCAGTGTACTTGTTGAACATATCTCCCTCTATGAACTACCTCAGAGATTAAGATTGTCTGGGGAGGTTCTGCTCTTGGTCCCACCTTCCTTGCAAGCGCAACTGGTGGGGATGAGAGACCGGGCCTTCTCAGTGGTGACCCCTCGGCTGTGGAACTCCCTCCCTAGTGACATTAGATCAGTACCTTCACTCCTAATCTTCAGAAGGTAAGTTTAAACCTGGCTCAGGGATCAGGCTTTTGGAGAATAGTGCAGTGCAATAACAGATTTGTAATATGTGCAATCAGGCATGTAGCCGGGGGGGGGGGGGGCTTGAGGGGCTTCAGCCCCCCCCCCCAAATTCTCAGGGTGGTCCACAAGAAGGCCTTACTGGTACATTATTTAAACTGTTATGTTTATTCATATCATGATCTGATCACCATAGTCAATATATCCCATACCCATATGGGGGTATTGGGGTAACGATACAAAAGGTTTGCTAGGGTAGAACCTCTTTCACTCAGACTCAACCCCCCCCCCGAATCAAACTCAGCTCCCCCCAAATCAAAATCCTGGCTACGGGCCTGCATGCAATAATTATGGAATGGCTCTGGAATATGATTATGAATGACATGATTTATATTGAATATGTTTTTAAATGTTTAATATGTACTCATTTTAATTTAATTTAACTTGATTTTTTAATAATATTGGTATTTGTATATGTTTTAAGGCATTTGGATATGTAAGCCGCCTTGAGTCCCCTTCGGGGTAGAGAAAGGCAGGGTATAAATAGAGTAAATAAAAAATAAATAAATATTTAAGTACGGCAATTCTTGCATATTTCAAAGTTTTCTCTGCAATCATATGGGTTAGAAATTTATGCCAAGATCCTGCATCATCAGATGATGGAGGTTCCTTGTAGCTAGGTGTAACAATACCACTCCCCAAAACCTAGCTTTTCAGCCAAGCAGTGCTTCAACCAAAGGGCTTGTGAGGCTCTGTAGATTGAGATACTGGGACTTGGGGTATTGCCATAATGGTTTCTTTCAATGTGCTCCATGCCCAGAAGAGAAATGCAGATTTGTTTCTCAGCGTCTTGAATTGAAATGGTTTGAAAATGCTTTAGTGGAGTGCTAAGTGGCTAAAGTGAGAGTCATATTCAGTCATTAACAACTGCAAATGTATATCCCCAGAGTTACAAAATAGTTAGCCCTGCATATGATTTTTTAATTACTGAACATGAGATACATGTGATCATGAGAAATTTCCCCTTTATGTCTCTTTATTAAACCACAGAACAGTGTTTCTCAACCTGTGAGTCCCCAGATATTTTGGTCTTCAACTCCCAGAAATCCTAACAGCTGTAAATTGGCTGGGATTTCTGGGAGTTGTAGACCAAAACACCTACAACTGCCATAAGTATGTACAGTCAGATACTATTATTGTGTTTTGCCTACATCCTGTTCTGCCTCCCAAGAGCTCAGAAACATTTCCATATGTCACACAGGCAGTGGCCTACAAAGACCTCTTACAGATCAAAGCCCTGCTTAGAAATGACCAGCATCATGGAAAAGGCTATAGTTTTATGTTCAATATTTTATCCAAGTTAGTTTGCTTTGTTCGGCTTGTTTTGGACTCATTAAATGTTTGTGATGATTCAGCACTCTGTGCTATCAATAAAACTACAACCTCATTCCAATCAGAGATAATCCCAGAGTAAATTCATAACATTCTCCCTCAGCATCTACCACACAGAGAGAAAGAACAAAGAGAGCTACCTTTTTGTTATTGTAGCTTTAATTTCTATTGATTTTCTATAAAAAAGTGAAATGACAAATGCTAAAACAAGAAGAAACATAAGGACAAATCAATAACCACATAAAAGCAAAAACAAGAAACCAAAATATGATGAATGGGTTATAGTTTAAGGCAATGCCCTCCACATTGAAACTGAATGTGTAGAAATGGAATGAAAGAATAGCAAGACTGTGTCAACTTGTTCCGTCTCCAGAAAACAAAGAAAGCATACAACTTAATATATGTAGTAATTTCCATATAATCAAGAACAAATTGTGTACAATTATTATGGCACAGAAATCTTTTTCCCATCTTCCACTTCGTATGCAGAGCTCAAGGAGAAGAATGGGGAATGGAACCAGGCCATTTTGTACCTTTGCAGCAGATATAATTTTTCTGTTTTTCAGAGCAAGCATATTTTGCTGCCAAGATGAAAGACAGGATAGCCAATTAATGTACAGAAGTTGATTGTACTAGCAGTTGAAACTTCCTTCAACACTAATGATGGGGTGTCATACTCCTGAGGACAGTAGGCTAGTTTAGGAGGCAAAGCAAATGCTATGAGACCCAGACTTCTGCCTCCAACATATCGCTGCTGCTTCAAAGGATTAATCAATTTTTTTTGAGGAAACTCCTTTGCTAAGCTTAATGGTACAGCATACAAAAAGTTAATCAGATAGA